GCTCAGTGTCTGGCGTGGAGATGGGTATTTGAGTGAGCAAGAGGTTGCTCACTCGCCTTACTTTGCGTCTTTTCCCGTGCCCTATGCCACAAGAGTAACTCTGCTCTGTATCTCTGCTATAGAGCATATACATTGAGAATTAAACTACATAATACATACCTTGGTAGGTACATATTTACTACCTATATGTAGGTAAGGCACGAGTCCACCCAAGCCACCCAAGATATTTTGACACAACCCCTCGCAGGCATAAGATAGCTGTAATACAAAATGTTGTGTCTACATAAATTCGTAACCGATGGACCTCCATATTTCATTTTCCTCAAGCTATTTATATACACATATAGGCGTAAAAAAAGTCCCCTAAATGGTATATGTTTCTTACCGCTTCATATATTGAACATATTACAAGTAATCTTATACCTAGGTGGGTATACTCCGTGTTACTACTCATAATCCTTTTGAAAGGCTGTAAGACCGATAAGAAGTAATATCTGAAAGAACGCCCAAAAAGAGCGCCGGCCACTGAGTTAAAACCTTACTCGATAAATATAGCCGTAATTAAAATTTTAGAAATCATATATTATGTAGAGCCAATAGGACTATTTTCTAGTATTAATTTCATGTCTTTAATGAATCAGACCGTGGTAGGGAGTAGAAATACATGTTGTAGTGAAGAGCGTTAACTCAGTGGTAGTTCTCACTGAGCCTGGGCCCCGGTGGGGTTCACTGCTTTTGTAATCCCTACCTAGGTACCTAGGTAGGTAGGTAGGTCGTAGTAAAGCCACCTTGCAGTCCGCTTCTTGCTTCCTTCCTTTCCTCCCTAGTTATCTACTATCTACATACCGAATTATGCTCTGGGGGAAGGCACCTCTTAACTACCTAGGCAGATATTTGTTCGGTCTCATGCTTTTGTCTCGAACTTTATCCCATGCTCTATTGGTTTCTTCTCAACTTCTAGACTTTAACTGATGTATTGTCGGCCTTCTTCTTACATCTCGAATTTGACAATTCCTCCTAAGGTTTTGCTGTATTCACGACTGCTGCCCACACCCTTTTTCATTTCCTTAATGTACCCTTTGACGTTATCGAAAAGCCAGTAGGTACGGCATTACTGCCACCAGCGTGCCCACATAATCGCCAACTGCTGGACTGCCATGGCCATTGAAGGCCTTGTCAGATTAGCACGTGCTGTAGGTTCAAATCTGTCATTGTTGCTTGCGATTATGCTAGTACGATGCAGCATGACCTCGTGATCGCGTGTGCTCTAATAATACATAGGTATAGATTGGGTTTGTCGAGCATATGCCGCCGGCTCCCTCAAAACTCAACATAGCCCCACCCACGACGCAAAAGTTTCTCCAAATATTAAAGCAACTTGGCAGCTCCACCTAACTATGTACAACATAGGAAAGGCACCGGTTCGTCCAAGATGGTCACTACTTTTAACATAGATACTTATTCTTGATCGTACACACATTGTTAAATACCTTCCATTTATCCTCTAAATGCATGAGACACGAAATATTTCACTACCTTGCACATTTAACACAAGTTGACGATCGTTGATGCTCCGAAGATGCCTACGCTTGTGTGAGTAGGTCGTTTGATCCGGCACGATGCCTGGCATGGAGACAGCAAGAGGTTGCTCACTCACCTTGATTTGCGTCTATTTTCGTGCACTATGCCAAGAGAGTAACTCCGCTCTGTACCTAGGTATCTTCTGCTATAGAAGCATATATGTTGGGAATTAAACTACATATATACATAGTCAGCTGACCATCCGCATCCATGGATAACCTAAAAACTCTATATAGTCCCCTCCCTCATTTCTTCCCTTTACCCAAAGCTTGGGTTTCAATGCCACCAGTCATGTCTTCTCAAATAAAAGATTGAATTTCATTCAGAATGCTAAGTCCACGTGGGGGAGAGGAAAGAAGAAAGGAATTAGTGGGATCAGAGTATTTTTGTGGGTCGTTCAATGCTCTGCAAACAATGCAAATAATGAGACAACCCCATAGGCGGAACAGACCGGCAGAATCCACATCATCACATTTATCTCCACTACAAAATTTGCATAGAACAAGAAATGCACTGTTCAACATCAAATGTGCACTCCTCTGGCATTGATTTTGTAATTCTATATTATTATTCTGGTGCCTAACCTATTATTTTAACTCTTATACAAGAACTAAATGAGATATGTCACTATATGCGATCATAATGACTACTATACTCCATATACGATTATCAGTATTAACTGCTAAGAATAGATCAATTAACGCTAGCTGTATATGGTTAGCGTGTTTTGCTTTGAGTCCGTTTGCCAGGACCTGCTTGCCTGCGAAGTACAACATGTACAACATAGGTAAATCTCTCCCCTGGTCATGTATTCATCATATCTCTTTTCTCCCATGATATTCGCCATCGAAACCATTAAAAGATTAAAATAGGACTGATAATATCTGATTAATAATCTAGGTAGCCATTTATATCGATTCTTAGTATGCAAACCGACCAGCCAAACCCAGTCAACACCGATCCTCCACACTTCCACCCCAAATCCAAACTCCAATTTATTGCGATATCTACCTTCATTAATCTATCAAATTGGGCATGTAACTCAGTGGTAGAGTGCTCGCTTTGCATGCGAGAAGTCCGGCGTTCAATCCGCCGCTTGTCCACATCTTTTTGTCTGTTTCAGGTTGATTTTTGCATCCGAAAGGTCCGGTTACGGCGGCTTATAAGAGCCAGTGTGCCACTTTGGATTTTGCCGGCAGTATGATTGGGATCTTGAATACATCTCATATTGTTCAAGTACTAAGCGTTTTAAGCTTTCCTTTCCATATAAACCAACTTGCTCGTGAGGTGGTCGCCTTGGGAGTTGCATATTCACAATGTAATCTACAGATGGACGTTTAACCGCTAGTTTTCGATGAAACTAATTCACGAGGGGAATATAAGACATATGCCGAGGTTATTAAGAAAGAATTTGTTACAATTTGGATAAAGTAACTAGTCGTTGAGAAACTACAAGTTTTATTAGGGCTCGAGTTTTACTCGAGTTGGAGGATGCACTATTTGTGCAGCCCTGTTTGTAGTCAAGATAACAGCATTCCGACACCAGAGCAATAAAAGTGTTACGAATATCAATTGAAAATATTATGTTCTTGTATGGTCTACTGAGGTGATCTTACGTAGTAGGTAGCAATGAATGAAGATACTAATTCCGAAGGTAATTGGAAGGCGGTGATATAGGCGGTGAAGGCTTTGCTATTGGAAATTCGATGTGGCTTTTAGAAACTGCCCGCCCTCTCCGCCCCTCCGTATTCGATTTACCGCTCTTCTTTCTGTTTCAATTTTTGATGTGTAGAGCTTGCCTGCTGGGATTTTGCTTAGGATTGCTATACTGTCCACCTCTGGGGTCAATTGCCAATTTTCTGGATAGTACGGTGATGAAATAAATGAGACAGAGCGAAACATTGACGTTCTCGCGATCTTAAGGGCCCATGGATATCATGTCATGAAATATATATCTGGGCGGCATATGTGGTACAAATTTATACTCCAAGAGGACTCCAATAACACTTTGCCTTTGTATGTCCAACTGCTCGCCGATAGCAACATCCTATATCCATGAATCTCGCCATTAGCTTCACAATAGACTGGTTTTCACTTCGAGGCGCACGGCTAGAATGGCTGCTACCTAGGTACTCTTGGAGGGGATTAACTACGACCTCGGGAGAGATTGTACTCACCTGATAGTCCGAAATTGCCTGATTCACCTTCGATACAACAAATTTTGTGTCCATGGGGTGGAGAGGTGGTGAATTGACGATGTCCCTGGTTATGCATACAATATAGAAAAGTTCCTGTACGGTTCGCCGTCTTCCCCTCCTTCTTCTGCCATCTAGCTGTAGACATTGAAACCGAGAAGGGGAGAAAATACTCGGGAAAGAGAACGTCCGAAAAGACAATCTCAGAAGACCACCAAAAGGACCACCAAAAATACACGACAAGGCCGCATAATTGGCTCACTATTATTGTTCATAGTATATTACTATGGTGGATGGAATGAACTAGTACCGGTTCGTAGAAACCTGGTATTGGTGTGCTTATTTCGGTTCGTTTAAGGCTGTTTCCGGCTATTTCAAGTTTATGTACGGAGTGGTGGGTGCACATGCGTGAACTGCAATGTGAATGATTTCGATTATTTACTGCTAACCTTGGAAGAACTTTGAAGCCCATTTCTGACGAACACCGCCAAGATCATTTTCTTCAACGGACTGTTGCGTCGATGTCACGTAAGGTTCAATTTTGAATTTTTGAATATGCTCTTAGCATAGTAGATTGGATCATGAAAGTGACAATACTACTATATGGGGACCATAGTTTATTAAACCATAAAGAAAAGGAAGGAGGAACCTTTATTCCAATTGAGATTTAGCTATAAACATCATTAACGAGCTATAAAATAACTATAATGTAGGATCTGCTAAGAAGAAATAATTGTGTAAGTCTATACGAGATCCCACTCTATAGCCCTACTATTCAAGGTCGGTATAGACCACCTGGAGTCTCACGTGGGGAGAAATTCGGCTAAGAGCAACGAGCTGGCTGAAGGGACTAAGACTATTGAGAGTTCCTATTAACATGGAACTGGGATTAGCTTCAACGCCAATCCTATCGGGATTCTGACTCGATCTTGATGGGAAATAGTCGGCGGCGCGAACTCCCAGTGGGATATAGGGCCGCGGATCGAGAGCTAGTCTAGCTTTGAAGAGGACAGGCTGCAGATTAGGGACAGACTCCAGGGCTGTAAGATTGAGACAGGCCACAAGGAGGGAACAGACTGTGGAGTAGAAACGGACTATTTAGCATGAAGAAAGGAGCCCTAATTTGGTACCTACACATATAATGCGTGAAACTCTAGTAGTCAGATTGAGAGTATTCATAGCCCGATGGCAAAGTGAACCTAGGCTAGATTACAAACATGGTGTCTATTTAACAAACGCTGCCCGATTCTCCTTTGTATATAGCTGCGTATGAATGCTCTTCGCTCGCCGCTCATACGCCTGGCCAGACACTCCCTGGGCTTCATCAGTTTGACTATATTCCCCACCCCGATAGAGAAACAATAATGGAAGCGGATTATCACTCCACTTCTGTAACTTCCCCCGGCGCGTTTTCCACTCCGTCCCTAACCAAGTCACAGCACTGAGCAGCCAAACAAGCAACGGCAGCGTCAACCACTGCCAACGGACATGGATAATGGTGGCGTTCGCCTGGGTATAGCCCACTACCATGTCAGCCTCCGGCCCGTTATTTATATACGCCTGGTCGCGGAACGACTTAGACATAGCATCAGCGACATTCCTCATCGCGCAACCAAACCGGTCGTTCTCAGTACCCGCGCAACCCGTGACATTTCCGTACATAAATGCCTCCATGACATCAGCTGTTGCGTACGACCCGTATTGTGTTCCACTTGGACGGAATACCAGTCGCATGGTGCTGGTGTACGCTTCGCCAGAGAAAAGTGATTCCATGAAGAGCCTTATTGTAGCGTGGCTCTTCGGGAACAAGGTAAAGTTCTGGCCGGGCTGGATGCCTAGGCTTTCGTCCCAGTTCGGGAGGAGGAGTACCCGTCGCTGCTCGCTAGTTCGTCGTGCCACACCTCTACTTTTGTCCACTCTGCGAGAACAGTTTCGCGGTAGACGGAGCTATTAACAGAGGCCTTGACACTGCGGACGATGGGTTCCAGGGAGCATTCCGTCGCGACATATCCAGCGTTACTGTGAATATCTGGGGCTATATACCACCCTTCTTCCCCGCTTGCGACTACTGCTTCGATGCGCTGGATGACCGGTAAGGTGGCGTTGGTGTACACGACGGGCTGAGACGAGGGTTGGACTTTCAAGGCAATTGCTTCCGTCGAATAGCCGCCGGCGTAATATGCTGATACCCCATTGGGAAGCGAGACCGTGCAGTTGTCATATGTAATCCCGGAGCTGTCGTCAAGGCGTTCGCATCTTTTCTCGATGGAGGATGTAACGTTTGAGCAAAGGGCGCGCACTGCAAGAGTGGCAACGGGGTCCCAGGTGCAGTTACCCGTTGGGCACATATACTGTGGGATGGCCCATGGCCTCCCTGGATCTGTACTGAATATAGAGTTGTATATATTCCCTTTGAATGTAGGCTCAACGTAGTAGTCTGTTCATGTTAGTACTTTGTCCGGTAGAGGAAACAGCCCCGCGGGCGGGTACGATGAGAACTAACTGCCTGCACCGGATCCCAACGGTCCGAGACTACTATAATCTGTGGTATTCGCTAGGCGAGAGATCTGCGATGCATCCACGATAAGATCGAGCGAGTAATGCACCAGGTTCTGGACGAAGGGTTCAAATCCAACGGCGAGCAGCACCGCAATGGCACCCAAGACCGCAAAATGACTATCCCATCAGCATCTGCACAGCTACCATAGTATGAGAGCTTACCGCATCCTCAATGCCCACAGAAGCTCTGCACTCCCGTAGATGCCTCTACTGGCGCTATCAAAAACCCTCAGGTCTGACAACGGGCGCTTTCGCTGCGCAAACCATACCCACTTGAGCTGTGACAGGCCAGCGCTGAGAGGGAATGCAATGCAGCCTTTTCCGACTGTGCTCAACCACGAGAGAAGTGTGTTAAGCGAAATCCACCTCCAGCTGGGTTGTTGCTTGCCATCGTACACGCGCAGGATGACTATGATGGCGATCAGGATCGCAAGCGCCAGGCCGAGCCCAAGTATATCCCATCCCCACCAGTAGTCTATGGTTGAGGGAGAGTGGTGTAAATTGCTGTCTGCGACTTTTTCCTGGGTCGCGACCGTGGCATTGTTGGTCTTGGTGGGCGATGGTAGAGGCGATGGGGAAGGAGAGTGTTGTTCTGCACGAGGATGCCCGTTCCCCACCTGCGTTGAAAATTGCAGTGGGGGGTGCTCTGGTTTAGGGTCGTTGTTCCTACCTGACTCCATACCTGCTAGTTGGTCCGTGGTTACAATTCGAGAGAACGAAGCAATTTCGAACAGTTTTAAATTCTTTTTCTCGACTAACTGGCATCTCTGGGCACTGAGGCTGTGACAATTAGATCATTGATCGGCAGCCTACCAGGCCAGAGTAAGTCAGAGCCCCGAAGCTGTTTTGGGGCGGAAGGTCGATCTGCACCGACTTGAGGTGAAGTGGCACTTGGCAGACAGACTTCCAACGTTGATCCAATCGTGCTCGTATTTGGCCCACCAACACTCCATCAAGTATCTGCACCTCATATCAGACTACTCACGGACCAAGGACTCAAAGAAAACTCGGCTCAACCTTGGAATGAGATCCTATTCCTAGGAAGCCATTCATACACTCTGTACCTGCTAAAATCATTTCCCGACCAGAAAATTCTCATTTCCAACGAACACCGCCAACATGAATACAATGTTTTTCAGTTTAATATCCATGTCGGTCATGCTCATGTTCTCGGTCACCTCAAAACTGTAGCCAGATACGTTGCAGCTCATGCACATAGGGTTGGCCCGGTCCATCTTCTTGACCTCCTGATCGACCTGTCACACGGTCCACCTGCTGTTGATCTCTTTGCCGACGACCGTGGTGTTGCTGATACTCATCCCCAAGGGCTAAACGGTCTGCAGGTGGCCCCAGAACCTCTCCTCCACGGCCATGGACTTGACTGTCCACGGGTGTTCGCCTCGATGAACGTCCTCGACAACACCTGCTCCTGTATTCTTAGGGTCATGCACGACTTCTTACTCCTCCACAACCAATGCTCATCATCTTCCTCGCCGTACCCTCAACTGGATCCTTGACGATGGTGAAGTTGTGCATGAAGTGTGACCACCACATTTATTATCAACAGACCCTCATGTCCCTGCTGCTTGGAGGCCCATTTCACGTCCTGATTATTGTTTCGGTCACAGAGCTCGTATTCGACAACGAAGTTGTTGGGTTTCGATTCCCCGTAGCGGTGGGTGGTGTCTCGGTTTATGCGATAAAACCTGGGCAATGAATGTTCGAGTCAAACCCACGATGCAAGGATAATTTGTTCTCCTGGTTGGTCTGCTGTTAGAACAGTAATGGTATGACTGGGACGGTGGTGTTCCAAACGGTGTAATCAATTGGATTCCTGTTGGATCAGCGATAGTCGAATTGAGTACTGACTGTCGCCCGGGCTCATCTTCGCTTCATCCTGAGATCAGGATTACTGTACCCCAGCACCGCGTTAAGGTGTGAGCTCATCGCTGGGGGGGGCCACCGTAGCCTGGGAGTTTCCTCGTCAGACTTTCGTCGGCAGCAGTAAAAATAAAGGTAAGGGTTAGCACAACTATTTCCGACCCACTACTAAAAATACATGTTAGTGTATGTTCCGAATAAATCTAACGATAGACTTTTTTTCCATGTGGCTTTGATGTTTCTTTTTTTTTTTTTGTTAGTTTTCGACATCAAATTCTCCGATAAAAGCAAAAAAGAAGCAAGAAAAGCGAGATGAAAAATAAACAGGGACCGAGACTTAGCTTGATTCTCAGAAAGGCTTCACCATTTCCGAGGAACGGGGGCGGCGCCAGCTTGCTCCTGGCCACGCAGCACGCAGATTGCAATCCATCGCAGCCCATCGATATGGGGCTGCTCTTCGAAGGCGTTAAGCATCTTGCTGAATGGCTTATAGTCGATGCTATGCTCCTTCCGGTAGTGCTTGCGGACAGTACTCTTCTGGGTGTACCGGGTCACCTTCTTTGAAGAGCAATCTGGATGCCGGCAAAAGATTTCGCCTCGGTACATTATGGGATTTTCTAGGTCGATGCGAGGCGCCTTGTGAAAATCAGCAGGGTCAATACTCAGATATGGCTTCAATCCATTATCTGATCCCGTTGGCTGTTCTTCGACTCCTTGCACTCGGACCATAGTTCCCCGCCTTTTCCGAGTTGTTGTTGCCGCCTTGGTGTCCTTCTCACTGTCTGGGTTCTGGGGACAGTTAACCTGGACATGTCGGTCTCGAGCCCAGGGTTCAGGAAACTCCTTTTGACAGAAAGGGCAATGTAGCCGTTTAACTTTCTGTTCTTCATTCTTCACTGCTCCACACTCGATGCGCTTTCGCATGATGGCTAGTGAGCATTCCAAGGTTCTTGAAAACCATGCCGCAACCACTGCAGGTCCACTTAGCGTAATCTTTTGGGCGAACGAATGTGTTTCGACGAAAGGAAAGCTCGTTCAATTCCTGATTCGCCACACCAAAAGCCGCGTTGCAAGCTTGGATACCTTTGTAGTACTTGGCAAAGGCCTGGAGGGAGGGATTCTCGTCGGTGGCCTCAATTTCCTCACGTATCACTCCGTATGCGTCCCGAAGTTTGACATCGCGGAAATAGCGACATCCATCATCGAGGTCTTCAACATAGAACCGGAGGGTGACATCGACCCCGTCGGCTTCCTCACTGATCTTCGCCATGCTCAGATCATGAGCTGTCAGCCCGTCCCAGCCAGATACCACCATAATTACACCGCAGCCAGCATCACGTGCATTCTGAAAAACGGCAGAAAGCTTTGTCAATACTTCACCATCCGTTGGAAGTTGACGGTTTGAACTTTGGAAGAAAGGAATAAAGCCCACAGAACGACTGTCAAGGCTGCCATATTCCTTCAAATGTACTTGCTCTACCCAGTGAAGGAACTCGAGTAACCACTCCTGTTTCACCTGGTGACTGGGAGCTGCGCTGCTGCGTGCAATGAACATGATGAAAGGACCTGTACGGGTTGAGTGTGGACCAGCCACGGTGGAAGACCCTTCGTGGGTCTCGTGGATTGCATTTGGCTCGGAATCAGTGTTCTCTGCCATCTTGACGTATATCGTGTTTAAACGAGTAACACTGTAACACTGGTGGAGTTAGAAAACCTGAAGAAGAGGAGAAGAGGAGGATGAGAAGAGAAGTAGAGTTTTCTTGTTTTGTTTCTTGACGCGTCGAAGGTGGGGGTGGGGTCGGTACGCGTTACCTAGGCTCGCCTACCTAACTAGGTAGGTAGGCTCCAAGGCAGCCCTCTGCTATGCCTACGGGTATGAGCACACGCTATACACTCGACCTGTTACAAAGTTGTAATGTGTGATTGACTGAAGAGTCAAGATAGTTAAATTCTAGACTACGAAGTTGACAATCTCACTTCAGATATCTCTCACTTCTCATATCTCTCACTTCTCATATCTCTCACTTCACATATCTCTCACTTCAGATATCCCTCACTATCTTTCTTAATTACCTTTGTATCAATCGAAGAGATTCTACCATACAACTTTCAGTGGACGTTCGCTTTATCATTTTTAGGATGGCTGGTGATGTATTGTCCAACAATATCACTCCTTGAGTATTGACTCTGCCGACTTAACTTTAGCCAACAATACTAAGAAGCAGGCAGATCCATTTTAATAATTTCACAAATAGGTTATCTGTCATAGCACTACAGAGTGTTAGCTTAAGTCTTAGCCGTAAAGGCCTCAGCCTTTGTAGTTAGGGCGGATACAACGTCTGATAACGTAGTTACTCCGCTCTGCTAGGGACCTAGTCCGCAAAATACACACATGCCTATAGTATACATTTCGCGTAGAAAGTTTTACTATACTGCCTAAGAGACCAAATCCTTATCTAACTTAATGTGGTTCTCAATACAGGCTTAATAACCTGAGCCCCAGAATGTGTAGAATGGCTAGGTAAACGCACTTTTCTAGAAGGTGTAAAGAAATAATAGTGAGGCAAACAGACAAGAATGCGAGCCTAGCTCAATACACCTACCTGTCAATAGAAGATAAATAAGGAACAATAGGTAGGTGACTAGGAAATAATGGAAGTCTTTCACATAGGATCCAATAAGAGTACGTTACCTACCGTAGAGTAGATTGTTAAGTAGAGCTGGTTGATCAGAATGTGAGTGCAAGATAAAAAGGAAGCAATAGTAAGTGAATGATAAGAGAAGAGTGAGAGGAAATAATAGAAACCTGAGGTTTGATGGGAAGGTGTTGTGTTTTGATTTCCTCTCTTCTCTTCTCTCTCTGTGTCTTTCACATCAACAACAACTTGACCTTGCATTTTGATCTGACGAATTGAAATTTCCTTCCTTCTTTCTTTTTCCTTCCCTTCTTCCTAAAAAAATCACCTATCACCTCACATTGGCCAAAATGGCCCTTCATGCTGGCGTAGCCGGAGCGGCCGGAGCGGGCCGTGGCGGGCGTGGCGGGCGTGGAGGCCGCAGTGTGCGGGTACGTATCCATGGATCTATCCCCTGTTGACATGGGTGTCAAACAAATCCAGCTTTGTCTCATTTCGCCCTGAGGTCCCTGGGAGAGCTTGGAGGCCTTTGTCTCCCCAGAGCTTGATCCTAGAAGACCTGGGTAATTCTGTATTCGCGAGCTAATTGTTTATATGACAATAGGGGGAGACCCGCACTTGCTGGTTCTGCAAGCAAGTTGGTCATCTCCAGGGTGACTGCCACGTGCGGCAGTTGATCCAATGCCGCCGTACTGTAAGTGCAAATCTGACCTTATTGTTTGGAATCATGCTAATGTGACACTATAGTGCTTTAATGTATGAAAAGCATAGCTATCCTGAATATGCGGCTAGCTAATAAGTAACTACAGACACCATCCCACCGCCGCCTACCTGGCCACCGAGCTGCCGCCCGTGCTGATGCCCGCCCTGCCACTATCGCCACCGCTAAGCCAGCTACTACAACCCTCCGGTTTCCCCCCAGCCTCCTCGCCCAGGCTCATGCCATTTTGGCTGAGCCACGCGAGCGCATCTCGCGTCGTAATGTACGTTCGACCTTATATATCCCTTATTATCCATCTTTCCTTATGACTATACTACGCGTGGATGCGATGACTTCGGCAACCTGCTACTATGCACTTTCTCGGTTCATCTGGGTTCCGCGTGCAGTTCACGTGTGGTCCAACTGGCTATAGACATACCAATCGTTGAATGCAGAGAGCAGTAGGTCATCGCACCTATAGCAATGGAACTCTTCCCCCGTGATTGACTAGTGTGTTCTATACACTAGCTAGCCATCATGATCATATGCAATCCTCATGAGCCCCTTTTTTTGAATACAGAATACTAATGTATATGCATAATAGTCAATTTGAGCGTTGATGGCCCCGGCTCGTCAAGGAGCAAGGTAGATAGGGCCACAAGGTCCCGCCTTCGGTCCTTCACACATTAAACACAATACAATACAATACGCACTCCCGGCTCTCATCTTTGAGTCTCTATCTGCAAAACTATGATATCGTGTTACGAGTAAATGTTTCTTCGGTCACATATAAGTAGGAATTCAGATCATGTAACGGCCCATCCCCACGCCGGTGGATTAGAATTTCATGTAGATTGCCATGTATTCTTAAAAATAGCCCAAAGAAGCCAAGAACTGAGAATCAGCCCTCGACATTATCAAGTTACTATCTACAGGCCGGTTAAATACGGCGTCGGGATCTCAACCTACCTACGTAGCCCTGGAATATGTGTCTCGACTTTGCCAGCACTGGCTGTGACCCCGGGACTTCGGAAGATCGGACACATTAAACCAATGGGAGGTGTCATAGAGCATGCCTCGGTGAGATTACGAGAACCAAGACTAAGCCGGAGGGAGGTTACTATCCCTACATCTAGCCATGAGAAGAATGATGTCTGCTTTGCAATACCACTCCTCGTCCAGAGTTATACCTCGACATGCCCGACCCTAAAGCTATCCACCCCCAGATAGCAAGTCGCGGTTCAGAGACTTGGTCCTGGACGGTATGCCTCAACCAGATATCCGACTCGTCTGGGTTCCCTCAACTCGGCCAGTTTTGGGGGAAATACTCTTGTCATTGCAGTGCACGCCGCATACCAAGAGGCGCGCGAGGACTTTTACCTCTACCCTGCCAGTGGCCATTTTATTCGGCCAGTGAAGGCCCATAGCAAGCTATACTGTCATGTGGAATATCGCAGGATCAGTACGAGCTTCTAGACATGCGAGATTCGAGTGACCCAGAAATCGGATAATGGGCTAGACAAGCTGTGTCTTGTCGCTTTGGCGGACTTCCACGTTAATGAGCCCAAATCCATGTTGGCTTATACAACACCGCCTGAGCTCATTTCTTTGCCTGCGCTCACTAGATTTGCTTGTCATAGTATTGCGAGGCAGAAATATTGCCGAGACAGAGAAGAAGGTTGTACCCTGAAACGGGGAAAAAAGCCTCAGTCCAGAGTATGTCTTTATGCACAATAACCACCCTCGTTCTCGTAGATGTGAGAAATGTGAGAATCATCGTCGGCAGTCCTAGTATCTGATTCCTTACACTTCATTCCGGATACTAATTCCTCCACAAGCTCAGCTGGTTTCATCTTTTAAAGCTACTCCTCAACAGCGTCCATGTCCTCGGTGAGGTGCATATTGTAGAGGAACGCGAAGTACTCGCCTTTCGCCGCGTACGGAATCTCCAATGTATTTGAGATCTCGTTACTTAACGACTAATTAACCATCTGGGAGTGCCAGTCTAGAAAGACCCCACAGGAAATCTTAGCGGTCTAAGGGTACGCGAGGAGAAGGAGTCTCACCCTTTGATCAAGGTCTGAACGGATTTTGCTAGTCAAAAGATTGCTGCTTCTCTTGGGAGGGTCTTCGTGTTCTCACCGGTGAGCCTGTTCTCAAAGAGCTCTGCTGGTCGAGAGATATCGAGGTTGCCAAAACCCATGAGGCTGACGTTAGTGAAGAAGTATGTTCTAACTTTTATCAACTTTTCCTTACCGGTCTGCCTTGCCTCCGTTAGGTTTCCTTCTGGATCAATTTCATTTGGAACTTTTACTAGCAATAGGCAACGGTCTGATCAGATCTAGTGTGAAACATGAATTATTGGCCTGGATGTTACATATTTACTCTCTGCTCGCTTACTGTCCTCTGCCATTTTACCCTTTTCTGTATCGTCAAAATCCTACTAGTACCTACCTAGGTAGGCAGCCTATGAATACTCCTCGCTCCTTCCTCCCTCTCCCTCCTCCCTTCCATCTTCCTCCTTCGGTCTCCCTCCATTTTTCCCCCGGCCACCTTTCTTCCGTCTATCTTTCGTCCATAGTCAAAGAAAGATACCTTATCTTCCTTGCCAATACGCCCACCCTCACCCTCCTGCTCCCGGTGCCGTGAGATTTATCCCGACTCGACAAGGGCCATGCCAGCAAGAGAAGGCAGACGAGGAGATGGAAACACCCAAAGAGAAGATAGACAAGGAGATAAAACATGGCCGATCCTCGAGAGGCCCCTTCCGTGGCTCGCTACTCCACATGATTCGCATAGGCCATGATCCTATTCGACAAACGACCCCAGAAGAAAGAAATTACCTCTGAAAGTGGCCTGCATCTCGCGTTAGGGGAATACTTTCACCCTAGGATCCGACAGACCCCAGTATACCTACCCCTCACCATCTCGATAACCATGTCGAGCAAGATGTTGCCTCCCAAAATCAGGCTTCAGCCTGACTGGAGGGTCTTATTTTCACGAAGTGCTCGAATGAGTCCTTGATCACAAGCTTCCCGAATACACTGCGGTCTTGATCGAGATAGGCTCAGATGCTCTTACGCGGGAACAATATACCCCGGGTCTTTCGCTCTATACTGGGTGTCTGGGTGTGATGGCCATGGCTCGTGGCGTTAAGGTATGTACGCATCCCCGATTGACATGGGGGTTGCTATGTCTCATTTCGCCGTAAAGGCCCTATGAGCACTTGGAACCCTCTGTGCCCTTGACTTTAGGAGCCTTAGGCAATTCTATATTCGTGGGCTAATCAATTATATAATGATATAGAAGGAAACCCGGACCTGCTACTTTTGCAAGCAGCGAGGACATCTTCGCGCTAAGTGCCCCGCGGCACTAGCCGTTATAGGCCTTGTTCATTTGTGCCGTGTAGTAAGTGGAAGTCTGCTGTTGTCATTTGGAATTATACTAATATATCGATACTATAGGACGGCACCCTGACTGTACGTATAGCATGATGATTGCGCCAGTTAAGATCGCGAGCATTGCTAACAAATATAGGAATCTTTCGAGCCCCCCGCGGCCCGCTCCTACCACCAGGCCCCCGCTGGCCAGAACGTCCTGCCCCGCGCCAACGCAGGTCGCGGTGCGGCCAACAATGTCGCCCGCCCGGGCAATGCTAGCCCCGCTGCAGGCCAAGCTGCCCCGGGCCCCGCCAACGTCGCCCCGGGCCCCGCCCATGCCGGCCGTAAGGCCCTGACCCGCCGCAACGTAAGTTCGACCCTATATCCCCCCATCCATCTTCCCCGGGTTTTCGGGTGTGATGGCCCGAAAACTGCTTACGGGTGGCCGATGCCATTATACACTTTCTCGGCTCGTCTATGCTCTGTGTGCAGCTCGCATGGTCCACGGAGGATGGTCATTCTTCGTCGGCCCGTCTGTGCTCTGCATGCAGCTCGCACATGGTCCGCTAGGCCATAGACATACCGAGTTATTTAATACAGAGTAGCAGGTCATCACACTTATAGTAAGGATACTCGTTCCTATGATTAAGTCGTGTGCTTGATATACTACTTAATCATAATCACGTTTAATTATGATATCTATTTTCAACATAGGATACTAACATTTGATACTTAGTCTCTTTGAGCGGCCAGATGCAATGACCACCGGGTAACGATATAATGGCCCTACCTACCCATGTTGGTAGGTTAGGTCCATCAATCAATCAGATAGCCCGTCTCCAAATTCAAAATTCTTAGTCCATTGTTTAAACCGCCTTATTGAAAACTACCGTAGTATCATATTAGAAAGGGGAATATGTAGAGATGTCGAAATGCAAGACACACGTGAACTTTCCCTCCTCTCTTGCCTCATTCCTTGGCTTTAGTGCTCCACTAATTATTATGGCCATAAGAGGTCCACTGCACTGACACAGCGTTACCACCACAGCCAGGCGATTGGGGATGGTAGTGCCAGGTCATGCTCCTATACACCGTATCGTATCGTAAGCGTGAGAAATTCCTTATTATTTATAAGAATGTGCGATCGCTACGCAATAGAGATCTGTATAGGGAAATAATACATACGGATTCCTATGGTCTACGCCAGGGAAGAAGAAATAGGGACACACAGAGAGAGAGGGAGAGCTAACAAGAAGCAAATTGAGATCTGTTGTGCATGTACGCAACTAATGCTTCAGTGTAACAACAAGATATCACGATTTGTCTCGGGAGACGGTAAGGTTCAACAGCATTGGTTAATGGCTGGCATCTGAATCTGAAGACTATTGCCAGTCCTGAGCTTCAATGCACTCCAGCGTCCTATGGTATCGTACCTCACTCCATGCAGAGCGAATTGGTTGTGAATGTATGGTATCATACTATAACTACTAGCCTGCTGTCAAATCCCTGTGCTTGAGAAAAGTAATAGCCGCGCTGATTACTGAGCACCATCTTCTCCGTACCCTCTTCAATGTAACTGACATTGAAGTGCGTATGCCCAAATGCCCATAATTTTATTAGTGGGCTCTTCCAAACCTCCTGCCCCGAGAGGTCGCTGGCAAAGCCCGATGACAGCGAGCTGTTTACATGCCTTGGATCAAGTGCCCGCCGATCTTGAGTGACTGGGCTATGGTGCGTAAAAACCACGATCTTGCGATGAGGCTCAGAGGCAGTGATATGAGAAACCTGTCCATTTAACCACTCCAAGTCTGCTTCGTGAGCAGCTGTGTGATCGTCAACAGTCCAGTCCTTTATGTGGTAAAAGTCATTAAGACCATAGCTCACGTGCTCCTTGTGGGCCTCGCTCACTCGCGAGAAGAGTGTGCACCCCAAGACAGTCACGTCTGGTGAGACATCGTAGCGAGTCTGATCCAATAAGACGAATGAACCCATAGCTCCTGAGTGTCCATCTTGTTCTGTTGAACGCCGACGATTGACAGACGCCGAGAATTGATGGAGGACTTGCTTTGTCTCCTCCCAATTTGAATAATAGGGCTCGTGGTTCCCTAACAGGAAGAAAACAATTTGGAATTGGCGCAATTGGGTTTCGATGAATGTAAGGAACCCTGCGTCCTTGACAACTCCTATGTCACCCAGGAGGGCAAGGTATGGTGCTTTCGGCGAGATCTTGAACACATCGTAGGCAGCGGGATTTTCTAGATGTAAATCTGATAATACCTGGAATGTGGACATCAGGACCGTACAACGAGTGAGGCAAGTTTTGCTTCTGGATTTATGTTGGATGGATGTCTGGGGGATATCAACCAACCAGATGCAGTTGCAAAGACCCGCCAAGTGTGGCTAAGTCAAAAGTGGCGGTGCTGACATGATGTGGCGTAACACAGCCTCCTTTTTGGGGGGGTCATCCCTCCATTATCTAAGCGCTGGGCATGCCCAGGTGCCCAGTGGATGATCTCATAAGAACCCCTCCTTGGCTAAGGTCTGAAAATAGATTTACGTCTTTCTCCTATTTCAACAATCCTCTTTTCGCTTGTTGTGCTTAAGAGGTGTTCCCAAGCCTCTTTCTACCAGCTTATCGACCATTGTCACATGCACGACGTCATAACTGTATTATCGGCACTTTAAATTGCGGGCAACCTTCCAAGATCGAAAGACACAAGCCCCTAACCGTGACAACAACCAACAGGATGTCGAGCACAGCAAACGATCCGCGACTGCTATACAGCGTCAACAACATCCGTGCTTTTCATATTCAAGATGGTGAGGAGCAGGACCTCACGCCGTCCGGTCCTCAAACCCTATCATTGCTAATGGTCCCCACCAACACCCCTGCTGCTGGCCCGGGGACAGATTGGCCTGAAGATTCACCGGAAGAGGATTTCTATCTTCATCTGTACCTCCCACCTGAGCTCGATCTTGCGATACCAGCGACTACACAGATCTTTCACCAACCTCCTGACAGTTATCTGATTCCCCGCTGGGACATGGGTCCCGATGCTGGCGCCTTCATTCGCATTCAGTTCCCTAGCATTGGCACAGGCCCCAGCAACGTATCCCAGGATGATATCGACACATTTGAATCCATCCTTGCGCAGTGCACTGCATTCCTCGAGCGCACCCCGCACCCGAAAGCTCAGGACCATACTGCTTATAACCCGGCTGACTACGCACCCGGCGAGGGTTATGTTGGGGCCCCGGATACAAAGAACGCAGATGCGCATGGGAGAATTGTCCTCGTGGATGAAGAAAACGGCAGTGTGGTTGGGGAGCTAGGAGATGGTTACAATGTAGTTGAGGATGCCGACGTGAAGCCTGGTTCTAAAAGTAAGTGTTGAATTATCATCAAATTCAATCAGCAACTGACCATTATATCGCAAACAGGACCGGTAGGAATTGAACTCCCTGCAGAAGGCGGAGGCAACCAAGTCAGTGTCAGCAATGTCTCCGAAGAATACCTGGCAATGGCCCGGCACCCAGCATATAAGAACTCGACACTGGTTCAGAGTTCAGCTACAGCATCTCGTCTACTCGTGACCGGATCGACGTATCTGGCAAATGCCATCGCAAGCGGCGCGGAGAATTTCCAAAAGAGGACGCAGCCAAATGTCACGCCTCTAAAGTTCTCAGACGCTACTCACGCGCGCATCCGCAAGGTCGGCACTCTATCCAACGGAGCAGCTGATATTTCTGCTCGCACAGTCGGACAGGTCGGCAAGGTTGCACAGAACCTAGGTGCGTCATTAGCGCGCAGGCAAGAATCCGGCCGAAACAAGGGCATCGACAAGCGCAACCCGCCACCAGAATACAAGCCCGGTGTGCTGAACAAATCAATGATCGCATTCTCAACCCTGGCCGACGGCATCGAGCAGGGCGCCCGGAACATGCTCTTCTCCGGTGCCGGAGCCGCCAGCTCCATGATCGGACACCGCTACGGCAATGAGGCAGGCTCCGTCGCAACCAACCTGACAGGCGGAATCAAGAACGTTGGATTGGTTTACATCGACGCCACGGGTGTCAGTCGCCGTGCGCTTTTGAAGTCTGTTGCCAAGGGCATGGTTGTTGGAAGAATGCGCGACGGCCAACAGGTTGTCGTCGGCGGTGGTGACGGCGGCCAGGTTCCAGCTAACGCTGTGGAGGCTGCTTCAGGCCCTTCTGGCTTGAGCGCCCGAGACCCTGTTGTGCGGCGCGCGTCGCCTAACCCCACACCGCCTCCTGCATATGGTGCGTCGGGGACAATGTCCCTCAGCGGGTCATCCATGCCAGGGGGTAAGCGGTAAAGATTTGGGGGCTGGCGCGCATGGCAGTTACAGTGGGGTGAGCGAGATCTCGACTACGGAGATGTTTGGGTTATTTCAATTTTGTGACTTTGGTACGGCAGGGATTTCTCTTTTTTTGCAAGCTTTTGATTGAGATTAGAAGCTTCTTGAGGCTGTCTATTTTACCTTTTTCGATACCTAGGTAGTGACGACATATCCGCACATAATGTTCCGATCGCATCTTATGCACAAATCTGTCGCCAGATTTAGTTTCGATTCTTCAAGGACCATTGGACAGAACTCGGTTCTGGCTAGGTGGCACAGCGCCAAAATAGGGAGAGCAGAGTTGACCGTCTTTTCTAGCTGCAATTGGATTTGTATACGGAGTAGAGTCAGCAGACAAAATTTGAGGTGAGGGTGGTTGGGCGCGATGTCGGTAACGGCGATGATAACCATTGGACAGGGCTGCTCATATGCGTTGCCCAGGTTCCGCTGGACGATCTATCCGATATTGATTGGGTGATGGTACATTGTTGTAGAGGCGAAGACTGCCAGCGCATCGCTTGACAGTTGTCCACGGCCCACCTTAGCCCCTTACCCAATGAGGGTTATCAGGGATAAAATGATGGTATCAAAGGTTTGACATTATGCCTGGTGTATCGATAACTGTCAAAAAAGTAGAAAAACTGGCGAAGATTTAGTTTAGCATCAATTACTGCATGCAGATAGATTTAAATGGAGACTGTGGGTAAGTGGATAGAGTACATGAAAAGATAGAGTAAGGTTTAGTGTTGCAGCCTGGACTATCCAGGAACCGCATCATGTACTCCATATGAACCTTGGAACATTTCAAGGTTGCAGTGAATATGAAATTTCAAGGTTCCAGAGGTCGAACAAGATCTGATTTAGATCGGGATCCAACCATGGTTCTAGCTATTCTTACCGTGGTCGGGCTGTGGTTCCAGGGTTCGTGCGGGTGGCTATGGCCCCTCTTAAATCTGCGTATACTACTCCGGAGCTTCAAAGAGTTAAAACACGAAGCGAGAACTGTATACTGGCGCTAATTGTCAGCTAGATTAAGCTAGGGAGCTGAACTACTGCACACCATTCTCACAACTAATCTTTGGATCTTTGAACCTCACTGGATCAATCTGAAAATCGGTAAAATATCATAAATTTTGAAATCAAGCAAACCGATTTAATTTATTTGTATGTTGTATAAAGAATTTGGCTAAACCAATGAAGAAGGAGAGAAAAGCGAGATCTGAACTTTTTATTTTGAGTGGTTAATAATGACGATCGTCCTAAAGTGTCCACTCTATGAGTATTTGAAACAGCCGGTGCAACCCCCTATTTTTTGCTTCTTTCTTTTCATGAAACCCAGCCCTCTAACAATTTTAGCGCCTGGTCATGTTATTATTATTTCTGTTGAACCCGCAGAGGCACATTGTAACTCCATACACTTCTCTCCCTTCTTTAGCACATGCGAGGATCTCTCGGGACTCGAGCCCTTTTTTAGCATAGGTTAGCACTGGCGCAAGGGATTCACGATCAATATAGCAATATATGGGCAATTAATATTGAATCCACTCTCTATACGCGCACACTAATTACATATGTAGTTTGTCTTTGTCGTCACCATCCTGGATGTATCATCGCCTGGCCCTTGGGTAGCCTTGGGCCTATGTATATATGTCTACCTAGGTAGCTTTTCTGCCAGAAGATCTAACAAACGTCGACATATTATAAATACTAGTATAATATTGAAGTAGCTTCTCTCATCGTAGACTAATGGAGTATATGTAATTAAATAGAATTTCATATTCCATATGTATCCAAGTGCTCATATCAGCCAAACCCTCATCCAAGGCTCAAGAGCCAAAGACCCGCCTCTCCCCAGACTAAGAGAAACTACCACTCGTATCTCACCTCCTCTTTTTCCCTCTTCACCTTCACATCCGGCCTTTCTCTCTACCCTCTGGGCTTTTCTTTTTCTTTTGGTCTGTTTTTTTTTTTGTTTCTTTGATTCTGTTCTTTGGGGGTGTATTCTTCCCCCTTTTTCGACTCGGAAACCCCGACCGGTGCTTCCCGTCTTTTTCCTCCCCTCGCGCCCCCTGTCCGCCCCTCAGTATCCTATCTTCGACAATGTTCAACTGTTGTCGCAATTGAATCAGAATTCTGTTGATCAGGTCCGCAATCGCGTCTGAGACATTTGTTACCGCGTTTGCTCGATTTCTCGGACAACGTGCAACGCCAAACCTCAGGTCGTGGGTCTGGACAGAGGGGGACTCTGGAGTACTGCAGCGCAGGTATCTTTAGCTTTCCTTTCGTTTTTCGAGAAACTTGCTGTTTTTCGACGCGTCTTTACACCTGGAGAAGGTCGCGACCTGGTGTCTTTGGTGATATTCAACCCTCATCCAACGGTTTTTTGCGCGATTGGTCGTAAGCTAGTTCCCCCATTCCTCCGATCGATCTCCTGCTGTCAGTTGCCCACCCCCCCCATTCCTGGGCAAAAGGCACATTTTTGGCGATTATCGATAAGAATCTGGGGAAAATTCCAAGCTGACAGATATCCCAATGTCTACAGATTGGGCTTTGAATAGTCGTTTGGCGAGTGCGACCGGTCGCCCCAACCCCCCGACTTTTGCCAAACACCGCCGGGAGGACATTGTGCTCCCTCGCGCCAATTGTACCAATCGCAATTGATACCAGGATCTTGTCAACGAGTGCCCACAGAAGCTGCCTCGGACCGTCACACAGCAAGTCTCTTTAAGGCTTTGCGCATCTACTAGCACAAAGGTATGCTATCGGCCACGATGCAAATTGCCTCACAGCGCGTATCCGTCCTTCGCCAAACCATTCCATTTGCTAAATAGTTTGCTAATTTCCACTAGCCGTTTCTGAGGCCGGTCCCGAACAGCTTTTTCGGCTATGAGCACTTCTCATCAGCAGGCCGTGCCACTCCCCGCTCATGCCTCAGCAATATCGACCAGCACATCATCTCCCGCCCAAAAGAATGTGCGCGCACCCTATCCCGACATGTTAGGTACACCGCCCGTTCCTCCCCGAGGACCTCTTCCACACACCACAGCCGCCGGAGTCCAAACGGAACCTCTACAGAGAAAACGAGTAGCTCTCGGCAAGGGAAGAGCAGGTCTGATCGAAAAGAAAACCGTGATCGCACGCGTGACGACAGAAATGGCAGACCACGGAGGCACCAGCCCGAGGAGACTTCTCGCGAAGTACAACAATCAAGGAAGGATCCACCAGTCACAAACCCCGCCGAGTCAGAAATGGACAGTATATCTGGTCAGAGGAACTTTGTAAAGGAACCAAGCGCAGAGTTCGATTCTTTGCTGCCCAGCGACCATGCTGTGGACCAGGAAAGAGAACAGGTGCGACCAGCTGGCACAGAAAATGCTCCTGCATCTGGGTACGGTGCGGCTAGCACCGATGGTGCGGAGGAGGCTCGTGGGCCTCGAAGTCGCCACGATTACAATAACGGAAACGTTATCAAGCGCAAGGAAACCACCTTTGGCTCGTACATTCTCGGACAAACCCTCGGCGAGGGCGAGTTCGGAAAGGTCAAGCTGGGATGGAAGCGCGATGGCAGCATTCAGGTGGCAATCAAACTCATCCGGAGAGACACACTGGGGACCAACCCCAGCCGACTACCGAAAATCTACCGCGAAATCTCTATTCTACGTGAGTTGGCGCACCCCAACATTGTGCGTCTCCACGAAATGGTGGAAACCGACCGTCACATTGGTATCATCATGGAATATGCGTCAGGGGGTGAACTATTTGATTACATCTTAAATAATCGATATCTCAAGGATAATTCTGCACGACGGCTGTTTGCTCAGCTGGTTTCCGGAGTTGGTTATCTACACAAGAAGGGTATTGTGCACCGCGATCTCAAGCTGGAGAACTTGCTACTCGATCGAAATCGCAACATCATCATTACCGACTTCGGATTCGCCAACACCTTCGACCCGCTGGATCCTCTAGACGAGGAAATCGAGTACAACTTGACCAACAAAGAATATGTGAAACGGAAGCGGTTAGACAAGGTCGGTGGAAATGGGCTAAGGCGAGGTGATCTTATGCAGACCAGCTGTGGAAGTCCCTGCTATGCAGCCCCGGAGCTTGTCGTGAGCGATTCCTTATACACAGGCCGAAAGGTGGATGTATGGAGCTGTGGTGTTATTTTGGTATGTTTACACCCTACAGCCGTCAGGATCTGACTCAACTAACCTGCTTGTGAAATTTAGTATGCCATGCTGGCGGGATACCTACCCTTCGATGACGACCCAGCGAACCCAGATGGCGACAATATCAATCTTCTTTACAAGTATATTGTCACTACTCCTCTCACATTCCCAGAATATGTCACACCACATGCGCGCGACCTATTAAGACGGATACTGGTCCCCGATCCTCGGAAACGTGCAGACCTTTTCGAGGTTGCCCGCCACAGCTGGCTCAGCGAGTTCTCGAACATTGTCTCTCATATCACAAGCAGCACGACAAACGTTGTAGACATTGCGAACACAACTATCCCGTCTGGTAAGGACTTGCTTTCTGCTCCTGCTAGTGGTCAGGCTTCGGGTCACTTACAAAAATTTCCAGAAAGCCAAAAAGAAGCACCGCCTCTCGTCCGCAGTGCCTCGGTACGCGAACCACCGAAGACACACCAGAACACCGCTCCTGCTGTTGGTGGTTTGAGCCATCATGCTGGAGATGTTTCTCAAGACCCGCCGTCCGAAAAGTCCAGGACCCCGCGCGATGCCAAGCGGAGGACGGTACAAGTCGAATATGTTGCTCCTCAATCACAAACGACCCGAGGAGAACCCCCGGTGGAACAGTCTGCATCACGCAGCCGAGTCCCGGCTCCATCCGAGGCCCAAATTGCGGCTTCAGCACAGCAGCCGACAGAGCCTACGCACCAGCCTTCAGACGCACCGGCACCGAACCTCAACAAGCCGCTTCCAGGACACTTCCCACGCTCGACCTCGGACAACGTAGCACTTGCTGGGCCGCAGACGACTGCGATGCCGCAAGGGCCTCGGCCAGCCACCGGTGCTTCTATAAACTCCTTTGGGAACACTGGTCGTTTGCCTTCCCGCGGTTCCTATGGACAGCCAGTGGCCCCTACTGTTACCGCAACCAACACAGAAGGCCGCCTAGCACAGCCCAAGAGCAGGCAATTTTCTCTTGCACAGGATCCTGCGCAGGCATCGACCACATCCATCGGTCGTCCAAGCACCCAGAACCAGCAATTGCCTGCAATGTTCAACACTACTCCTCGTCAAGAGCCGCCAAAGGGCCACAAGAGATCCAATACTGTTTCTAGCCTAAGCGAGAAGCTTTTCGGCCGTTCAGGTTCAATATTGGGTGGCCGTACGCAGTCTAATGCCACTCGTACAAAGCAGGACAAGCGTTACCCCCCTGTCAGCATGAAGGAGCCTCTACCGAGAGATAACTCCAGGATGTCTATCGACTCCCGCCGCTCGATGCAGTATCCCCATAACCGCAAGACAAGCGAGTCTGGTGCGGAAAACCGTCCTCGTCGATTCTCACTACTCCCGCAATCCTTTTCTTTCCGAGGTTTCTCTAATACCCGGGCTCAGACCCCCGAAGAAACCTCGCAGATTCCTCGTCCAGTCGACCCCCGTTCCCCGCAACGCCCCGCCACAGGCCCTGCAGGTCAGGCACAGGGTCGTTCTCGAGCGACAAGCTATGGCACGCAAGATGCCATGGGGATAGTTGACGAGGGACCCGGCGAGGATGTCCATACCGAACCTGAGCCGCTTAGCTACGAGGCTCAGATCGATCGACAGTTTGCAGATCTGGGATCTCAATTTGATCGCCAGAGTGGTTCCTTTGGGATTCCCTCGGCTGAGCAAGTCTACCAGAACTCCGCAGACCGCCCTGGTCACCAAAACCACTCGTCTAAGCCAAGCTACTACGATGATTACAATGGCCCGTATGACAGCGCCCCTAGGCAGTCGATGCAGGTTGGACGATTAGGACGTGGACCGGGTGTTCTGCAGAAAAACCACCGCAAATTCGCTGACGCCTATGAATATGAGCGTGATGGGTCTCATAATTCCGGCAGCTCTGGGGCAGCACGCAAGGTCATGGACTTCTTCCGGAGACGTGCTAAGTCTCGCGCCGGTGATGACCGTTGATATGCGGTTTAACCAATAGATAAAAAGCAATTTTCCATCTCAAACGGACTGACCGCTGAGATTGCATCGATCAAGCACCCCTGCGGTTTGAGCTTTGATCTTGGAAGCAGATTCAAACCCTATCATTCTGATGCTTCTTTTGAGTTGCTTGAAAGAGCAGCGAGGTTGTTTGGATACCCCGTGATACCCTGCTTTTGTCCCCTTCTTATGCATGGAGCGATTCCTCTTCATCCGTCGGGTGTTTGATTAATTATCTAGCATTTTTTTTTTTATTTCCTTTGTCTAGCTACCTTTCCCTTTTCCTAATGTTTTGCTGTTGTTGTTCTCCCCGTTTTACCCCCATATGTGATTTTGCATTCCCTTCTACTGTTACTATTATCTCTGGCTGTAAAGTGAGACCTCATGTTCTTGTTCAGAGCATTTTATTATCCTTGTGAACTTTTATTTTTTCCCTTCTCATTGTTCCCTCTTAGCTTTTATTTGTTCCTCTATGGGAGGCGCTGTCAACGATAATGCAATTGTGACATTATTTACATTCTTCTGTGGATCGTTTTCCCGTTCTTCATTTATGTGCGTGTACCTTAATGTGTGGCTTTTTCCTTTAAGGTGGGATGTTTCTGGCGGCTAGTTGTGCAGGCCTCTATCCAGTTCTGTTGCCAGTTTTCGGTATTCTATTTCTAGGACCAGCAGTGTGGTCAGTACATTGATTCTACTTGACTTGATCAATATCTTACTAGGCGAATGACTGTATATCTACCTTGAAGCTGCTTAGTTAGGATGTAGATGTAGCATAACGAGATTGATATTAGCTTTGCTCTCACTGCAGAATAGTCTATGCTTTCAAACGCTCAACCTTTACCAGGTCAGCTTCCTTATTCAAGCTCTCAATCTCAGCAGTGGCAAAAGGGATACCCTCTGCCAACCGTTTCTCCTCGGTAATTATCTCGATCTCCCCAGGGAAATAAATCCGATCCACACCAGCCATCTTCTCCGAATCAACAACCCGCTGATAAAGGTAATCCATCCTCGCTTTGAACTCCTCGATAGTCATAAACAAATCCGGCTTAATAGCCACCAAAAAATGTCCCACGTCAGCTGGCTTCGACGGATCATATGGGTTGGTAACGTGGCCAGCAAAAGCAGACCCAGAAAGCACACCGGAGAAAACATCCATCATAACAGATAGCGCAGACCCCTTCGGCCCACCCATAGGCAGCATAACACCCTGCAAAGCCTCAGCAGGATCATCCGTCCTTGCCCCATCCTTATCAAGCGCCCAATCCGTAGGAATCTTCTCCCCACGCCGAAGCGCCTTATAAATCTTCCCGCGAGCGGCAATGGAAGGTGCCATATCCAAGATAAACGGCCTGCCTTCTCCAGCCGGTGCCCCACACGCAATCGGCGACACACCCATTAGCTTCTCCTTCCCGCCCCAGACGGGCAGCGCGGGCGAGCTATTCGTAAATACAAGCGACATCATATCAGCCTCTAGCGCCTGCTGCACCAACCATGCGGACATGCCGAAGTGATTCGAGTGCTTGACGGAGACCATTCCGATACCGAAAATCTGGGCCATTGAGATGGCGAGCTTCATTCCCTCGTGTGCGGCTACGAAGCCGAACCCGTTGTGCGCGTCGACTTGTGCGACGGCGGGCGTCACTTGCCGGATTGTTGGGACAGCGCTTGGGTCAAGTGCGTTTTGTCGGATCCGTTCCATGTAGGAGGGGATGCGGTTGCTGCCGTGTGTGTCTACGCCGCGGAGATCAGCTGATACGAGGCATTTGGAGACTATCTCCGCGTGTTCTGGTGATGTTTTGTTTGCGATGAGGATTTGCTTGACGAAGTTTTGGAGGTCTGTGGGGTTGATGTTGTGCATTTGTTGGGGTTGGTTGGGTTGGTTTGGCATTTTGGAGTTGGGTGTGGTTTTGCTTTGGCTTTTTGATTGTTTTACAAGTAGATTTGGTGTCGTAGTTTGTCGTTTTGACGACCCCGAGTTCTGTTGAGGTTCTCTTATAGACGCGGGACGGATTCGTTGCGAAGGACGGGGTGGGGCCGCACATGGGTATGGGAGTATAGTCCCATTTCGGAGCATTCCGTTAGCTATTCGCGAGGGCAAGCTTTGTTCTGTAATGAATATATACTGTGGAATTAATAATGGCTTGAGATTCATGATATTTACATTCAATGGCTGTCAAGGGAAACTAGATGCTGGAGGGTTCATTCGGACAGGTTCCATGACGACCAAAAAGATATGTTGCTCAGGTTCTTGTCCAGGAAAGAGCCCGTCTGAAATATTATTTGGTTTCTTCGATTAAAGATAGCTCTCTATCACATATATGTGACCTACCTAGGTAGGTATTCAGTGTTGACCTATGACATCATTTTCGGCTGTGGGCGGCAATTGCCGTTCGGCAAAACATCGCTCCTTCCCCCTTTTGCCGTTTGCCGAGAGAATCTCCAAATCGTTGAAAATGCAACGTAGGGCGCGTGCTGTGTGCACCCGATGCCACAGTCGTAAGGTACGTTGCTACTCATGAATATATATTATCAAGACTAATAATGAAGATCCGTTGCGACTTGGAAGGTCGGCCAAGTGGCAGCTGCAGCCGTTGCGAGCATGCAGGCCATACATGTCAGTAAGGCTACTTAATGCTATAAATGCCTTCCATCCTATAGACTGACATGGCAGACCTCACATTGGGCCTCGACAGCAAAGGGAAAGCCCTCCGTCCTTCACTTTATTCGTCAGATACAAGTCTCCTGTCGCCAAGTCGAGTGGTCCCATCTGTGACAAAGGAAACCACAGCAGAAGCTACACCATCACCTTTTCGTCCTCTGGGCCCCCGGGATCTAAACTTTTTGGGACCTGGAAATGTCAGTGGCCCTCAACAGCCAAGTTCCATTGATGGAAGCCAGCCCATTCTAGACATAAGCCAATCTTGTCGCCTTCCACCTCTTGTCATCGCCCAAGCACTTACCGATTTCTATTTCCGAGAGCTGTTCTACCTCGTCCCGGTTTTAGATCGTGGACAATCTGAGATAGAAACCTCTACTTTGCTACAGCAATGCCTGTATTTCGCGGGAAGTACCATGCGTCAGACAGCAGGACCAGCCGAATGGACCACATTTGCCATTTACGGGAGGATCAAAACATTGCTCTTTCTGCACCATGACCCTGCTCCATTGAATATGCTCAGCACGCTTTGCATCCTCAGCACCTGGCTTCCATATTCCCCTGACGCGATAGTACTGGATAACCCGTGGCAATGGGCTGGCATGGCAATCCGACTCGCGATTCAGTTGCATTTGCACGAGAACGAGACATACAACAAATTGGAGCATCCTGGAAGAGCGCGCAGAATGTGGTGGTATCTCTTTATCAACGATACTATGCAGACGGCTTGCTGTGGTCGTCCTGCATTCTTTCCCTTGGAAACCTCTGTGCCACTGCCTGCTCCGAGTGACTTCAAAGATCCCGATCTCGGATCACACGTTTTCTGCCAGTTGACAAATCTCTGCACAAAAATTAAAAAGGTTCAGGACTTGGCCAGACTTGATAACGCCTCACCAGAGCAGGTGTATCTGAGCCTGGACGGACTCAGACTGTTGAGAGAACAGTTGCCTGTCGAAATGCAATTGTTCCACATCGAAACTAGACAACCATACAGCCGCCCTGTTATTGAGCTCCATATATTCTACCTGGTGACTGTTATTTTGACGTGCTTTCTCGGCCGCCGGCACAACCCCTCATTGTTCAAATACGCTTCAATGGTCGCCTCGTCCTGCATTTCTCGCCTCTATGAAGAGATCCTGTATCACGAGGACGTCCAATACCTATTGCCAATCCATTCTTGGGCTAACCTTGTTGCCGGAATCCCACGGGCCTTCACCGATAATGATGCATTGAACCCAGACCGGGAGGAGGAGCTCAGAATCAGCAAACAAGTGCTGGTAATCATGAGTGAAAAACATACCTCCGCTCGTTTGGCACTCAGCAAGATCGGCGGATTCAACAACATGCGCGCAGATGCGTTTCCCGCTCAAACCGAAAGTACTTGGGATGCTCTTCCGGTGCCTGGGCAAATGCAACTGGCTCAGCTCTTCCCTTTCCCCTCGAGCTTTTGCCCTATGCTTGGGCTGCTAAGGTCTGCAGAAACTAGTGAAAACGAAACGCCGGATACGCTTCTCACTTTGCCTATGGATAGCAATGATTGGCCGATAGATTGGTCTTCTTTCTTATTTGACGGTCCTATGAGCGTCTGAGATACGGAGAAAAATATACTAGTAGCAAGGGATATTTTCGCTACGGGTTCTCCGTAACCTTGGAACTTCAGGTGGCCTTAATAATAACCGACTACATAGTGCTCTATCTGTATGGATCATCACAATATGCTGCACTCATTATATCGACTCTGTCAGGGGTAACTCTTGGAAATACAGGTCTCGTCTTCTTTCATATCAACCCACTTCCAACAAGCCTCCCACATAGCTTCACATTTTGCCGCGTCTTCGCTTACACGCGCAGGGAGCTGAGGCTTCGTTCCATTAAAATGGCCCCTGACAGATGCATACTCAGGGGCCAAAGCCAACGCTAGGACGTCTCGGGCTGAGTCGGAATTTGACCGAAGCCTGTAAGTAAAAAGCCTGGTCACTGGTAGCGAAAACGCGAGCAGCTTAAACAAGACACGAGTCAACGAGCGCTGGGCAGCATGGGCCCGGGAGGCCACAAGGCCACCCGGGTCCATAGCAGTCACGGTGATCTTGCTGAATTGTGGGTTCTAGAAACGGAATTAGTGGATCCTCTCGAATTCTGAGAAAGTTCCCCATACCTGTTGAAGCCGACGGTTTAAACTCCGCATAAACATGACATTGGCCAGCTTGCTGTTTGCGTACCGTCGCCAGCCCATGTCATGTTCTGTTCCAGCCTCGTCTGCACCGGGTTTGATCAATGAATCAAGATTCTCATCGGAGGGAAGTTCTGCGCCCAGTTTGGAAAAAGCGTTGGGGTGTTCAGGATCGTGAACTTCAGAGCTAAGCATGACCACTCGACCAGTCTCGGGATCCATGCTCCGCAGAAGTTTTAGAACCAGCAAAAAATGCGAAAGATGATTGACTTGGAATGTTGATTCCATTGAATCTTTCGAAAATTGCTGGCCTTCTAGAGACCATGTAAATGCATTGCAAATGATGGCCGAGATGCGTGGAAGCTCGCTAGATTCCACCAGGCCAGCAATCTCGTTCGAGAATGCTCGTACTTCCGAAATAGAGTTCAGATCCACGCTTTTGATCAGGAGCTTGCTAGAAGGATACTGATGCGCCATCTCTTCCAGTCGAAGCAAATGGGGGCCTTTGGGGGATTTTGATGCATTTCGCACAGTGCCAACGATGGTCACGGAGGGACGCGATGACAGAAGTTGTTGCACCGCTTCAAGTGCAAGCGAGCCGGTTGCACCGGTGATAATCACTGTGCTCGCCATATTTGCGGAATTCGTACAAGAGGAAATGGTTGAGAGAGCAGAGAAGAGCATAATAATGCGGTAATGCGGCAAATCAACCAATCATGAATATTGCCGAACATTCGGCTAACTGTACGGCTAACTGTACGGCAATCGATCCCCTTCATCAAGTCTCAAGGCTACGCCCCGAAAGAGAAAAAAAGGGATTCGGGAAGAATCATAAAGAAAAGAGTGGTGCCTGGACTATCGCAACATTGTAAAAACTGAATTTGTCGAACAATTCTTGAGGAATATTGATTTGAAGCCCCACAGGTTCTAAAGCGTTGATCTCGCTGTGTATGAGTGTTCCGGCTGTGTACTCGGTCAAGGTAGTGTATTTCGCATTCCCAACAGTTCATACCGGGCAAATTGCTGCCGCTGAAAGTTCCACGACACTATCAGATTATTGACAAAGGCCAAGCCCCCAATAATCCCGACCAACAGAACCCCGATCAGAGGCCCAAGGATTGCAAAGACTGTAAATCCATAGGAAGCGTCCTGGAATGGTGAATTGAAGCCTAAACGATCGGTAGCCAGTCCAACCTGCATCGCCGTCAATACTAAGGCAACGTAGATAGTCGCCGCAGTCAGCGGAGTCAAATAGTCGTAAAACAGCTCACCGTACGTCTGGTAGGTGAACTGATAGCCGCTCAAGACGCTAGCATGGCGGATTGCGTAGATTTGGTTGAGTCGCGACAGTCTCAGCTCTCCAAACAAATACCGTGAGTTGATATTCCCGGGGCTGGTCACATCGTTCTTCAACAACTGCTGGTTCAGCTTGAGCCACATTTCCCAGGTGATAGTATTCGGCAATAGATGGTAGTTTTGTGCAATGAAGAAATCACTTTCGAATTGTACAAGGGCCATATAAGAAGATAAGAATCCAAGCGCGCATTTGTATAGCTCTCGCGAACACGTCTGTTCTTGACAAACCGGTTCGCCTGGTGAAGCACAACAAGGTCCCTTACACACAAGATGCGACTCCCAAAACTGAGAATCGAGAAGATAACGTGGTAGTGGCTTCAGATGGATACGCCGAGAGTGCTCCCAGACCATATGCATGTCAATTCTCTCGTCCACGGCAATTTCCCGCGAGGTTGCAATCTGGTAATTTAGAGGCTTGGGCGGTATTGGTTGGCCAGCCAGCCATAGATATTGGTCGATTTTATTCAGTTTATTGACCAGCAGGTCCTTCTTCAAGAATCGTTGGATCTCTTCCGTGGGGCTCACGAGTTTATGATCCGTTCGAGCAGAGGCTGGGAGAAGACGAGCGGGATCCAGCAAGCTGTCGATGAATGCATCTTTGCTGAATGGTAATTGGGACATCGGTAATCTAGGAGATTATATGTCGAAATATCACTGAAAGATGAAAATGACAAGACGAGAGGAATCAACAGCCCCACCCCACTGGGGCTTGGCGTTGGGCGGGCAACGTGATGATCACTGACTCCGAGATTGCTGCCTTCAGAGCTGATAGGGTTTTCTTATAAACAGCGTGCTAGCTGCAAAATATTCCCAAAGTCTTCACAAACCATCATGGCTCCTCTAACAATCATAGTCACGGGCAAATCATCCGTCGCCCACGCCCCAGAACGTGGCACCATCAGATTCTCAGTAAAGGGAAATGGCCCCCTCCAAGATCAAGTCGCCTCCCTAGTGGCATCATTATCGACCAGCCTACAAAGCTGGTTCAAATCAACCTTTCACTCCTGGTCCGACGATCATCCCGAGGGCCCTCTGACAAAATTCTCATCCACCAGTATCAAAACCTGGACAAGGTCAACAGATAAACACGACCAGCCCGTGCAAAATCTGCACCATGCGAGTATATCCTTCAAAGCCGTCTTCCGCGACTTCACGAAGTTGAACCAGGCGATCGAAGAATTGCTAGTCTATCCCAAGGTGGAGATCGACGGCCTGGATTGGAGTCTCACCGACGAAACTGGCAGACAACTGGCTTCCAATGCGCGCAAATTGGCATTGCGCGATGCTATTCAACAAGCCGATGACTATTCGGAAGTGCTTGGACGCCAAGTCTCGGTCGTGGAAATTACCGACCATGGAATGAGCCCCTACAGGGCTACTCATAGAGACTTGATGATGGCTCCTAGTTTTGGTGGTCACCCTGGGGAGGACCCTGCGCCGCTAGACCTCACGCCTCAGGATATCGACGTCGAAAGTCAGGTCAATGTTACTTTTCAGGCTGCATGAGATGTGAGGTGTTCAACTCGATTTGTTTTCAGCCTAGCCGATGACCCACGGACATCAGTGACACTGAGCTACATTGCTTTATCAAGGTCTCTTGAATACGTGATATATCCGGATCATTATATCCAAATCTTCTATTCTCCTCAATTAGCATTAAAGACCTCCCACATGAGAGTGTCGAAGTCCGGAGCCCCGCTGAAGTCCATAAAGCCCCCGGGCATGGAATCATGCAGCCAATTCATAGAATCAGCGTGGTCGTAATCATCCATGAAGGAGTTCAGCGGGAGGCTTTCGATACCCGAGTCAGCACGAAGTGTAGAAGGCAGCTCCATTCCCGCATTGGAAGTCTGAATTCTCTGTGCTCTTCCTGTGCCGGAAGTCGATTGGTTCTTGCCTCTGGTCGAGCTTGAAGGGGCTTCCAAACTTCGCATCCGGATAAGTCTCTGAACAGTCGCACCAGATAACTCATGGATGCAATCCCTTGCGCGCTTAGCCTCGGCCCAGTATTCCCCAATGCTGCTTAGGATATTTAGACTTATGCTCGTGTCAGCGACCACCTCATCAATCTGCACCTCGGATGCAACATGGGGCAGTCTCCATAAGCAGTGTAGCATTATCAGCGTACCCAAGAAGACGGAGTGAACAATGAGTCGGCTATATAAGAGAGCTTCCTGTCGGTAAAGCTCCCCAAACCCGCGGAGAAGATCTACAGCATGCTGGAAACATCGTGCGAGCACTTCTTCCGATGGTTCGGGAATCCCGGGGCTAGGTCTTAGCACCAGTATTATCATTTCGTGATACTTGGTTTCGCATATTTTCGTGATAGCATCGTCTCCAGCTCCACGTGGGATGTCTGCAAGCCAGGCCTGAAGGCGTTCGACCATCTCTTTCTGCCACAGATGGATGTCGGGCACTGGGGGGTACGCGTATCGGGGAGGATCTCTGCAGATGCTATGCATGACATATTTAATCTCAGAGTTGATGCGGGCAAGTTTGAACAGGTGGATAGAGAATGTCATGTGAGAAGTCGTGGGATTTGGTGATATTTCATTGGAAGTTGACTCGGAGAGACCACTATCAGAGACATCTGAAGGGAGCTGAAAGTACTGTTAGCTAAGATCTGTCTAGGAAGAAAAGTATCGAATCACATACCCGAAGCTCGCACGCTTCATCTCTCACACCGATCGGACGACCCATCATAGTCCCCAATGTACGATCAAAGCTGTATACAACCCAGAAGATGCGAGTTCGCATTTCCTGCTCCAAGAATGATATTGAGAATGTCGATGATGCACGAACATCACGCTGAAGGCCCAGGTCAATCAGGGAGCCCAAGCATTGGTAATTCAGGCTCCAGACGTTGATGTCGCATGAGGGGTTATGAAGTCCGTATACCATCAGCAAGAGCAGACTTTGCAGTCCTTCCAAAGAGCCATCAGCACATGCACGCTCGAAATACTGGGTAGCTGCTGTGTAATACCCCTCGGCTGGAAGAGGTATTCTAAATCGCCTAGAGAGATCCGAGGCCACTACTGCGAGGACCAAGTAGACGTGAAAGGCATCCGCTGGGCTGGGGGTGACTTCATTGCTATACATTCTCCGGAGCCTTGTCATGTGGGTCGGTTGGTGTAGAAACGGGTACATGAGATGTACCGAAGCAAAGTATTTTGAAGTAAGCTCCTCCGCGTCTTCTTTGCGACTTGGGAGTGGTGCTGGGCTATTGAAAAATTCAGATGAAAGCGACATTGGCTTATTTGCGTTTCCATGATTCCCTGATGGCCCCGGTCGTCGGCCAGTACTCGAAAATATGAGGTTTGCTAGGAAATATCCACTTGAGGGACCGATGTACCTCGGCTCTCCCGAGGAAAGAGAGACAAGCCCAATTTCGTGGGCCGGTCTTGAATGTGCTCGAGATGGTTGCGGATCTGCTGGCCCGGGTTGTTCATGGTGAGGTGTTGTTGACCGGCGTATGCGGGCGCTGTGTGGAATGGTAGACTCAGGTTGAGTGCTTCCCTCCGTTGGTTCGAGTTGCGAGATATCTGATAGGTCTAGTTGCGGGCCATCCTCTAGCCGGACCGTTGGATTCTGTTCCTTTACCAATGACTCTAGCCACTGCACTCGCTTTTGTAGGTTCGCAATGTACCTAATTAGCTGTTAGTATCAAGGGGATAGATAGAAGCGGAGGAAGTATTCATGTGACTTGGAGGTAATAATACTTACGTGCGATTAACCTCCTGTTTTCCATCGTTTACGCAGGCAACATTAGCCTTTCGGCACGATGCGCACCGGGGAAGATCTCCATCATCTCGGAGATCTCGCGGATCTCGCGAGATATGGCATCGGATTTTCCGGCGCTGACATCTCACACACGCGGCGCGGTTCCGAGACCGCCGTGGAGAGTCCATGACAGAGCTGACAGGGTCCCTTATGTTGAATTTGTCGGTTCATGAATATGAGAAAAGAGAAGTTAGAATTAACAGTGCCTGTCAGAATGAAACGTCTCTGCAAAGAGGAAAGTACTGGAGTCGACGAGGTTCGGATAAAGGCGGGAAGCTTCCGCTAAGGACGGATGACATCCGTCGCGTCATTTAAAAGACAAACTACATTCCGATTTTAGCCAGTCTATAACCCTCGTATTATTTTATTCTTGTTGAAACTGATACATTTCAGAATGGTCCTCGTTCACATTGGTATGGTTCATCCCGAAACCAACCAAGTACTTAATTGACGTCAATAGTTCTATTCAAATTCCGTGCGTACGTCGGAGACGCAGTGAAGCAGGAATTTCTTTCCCAAATTAAGACACTCAGGTCCTTGTCCTGTGTGAAAAGCCAGAGGCTTGTTGTTGGAGGTCCCTCAATCACAACCCCAATCGAAAAGAGCCAAGGATTTCAATATGCTCTAGTGAGCTACCACAACGATCGAGCAGCATTGGCTGAGTATCAAGCTAGCAGTGAGCATGAAAGGTGAAAGATATCCGTTGAAACCTCGAGTCTCCTGGGGAATAATGGGGGCTGATGTTATTTAGGGTCACAAGCACATATTTTATTCCTTATAAGGAGGATCTAGTTCGGTTTGATTTTGAGACCGATCAAGTCGATGAGGCGCTGCTTGGGTTTTGATATATCCAACGGTATATCTGTTATAGAAGGGAAATCATGGAATATCAGGTACCATGTGGGAAAAAGCAAGAGTCTCCATGGAGTGGGTTGCGTCTTAAAGGGAGGTCCAAGTCAACGCGGTTGGAGTAGAAGGCGCCATGTCACATCGTCACATCTCACTGAACGGGGTTTATTGTCTATACTAGTCAAGCATGCTGTCTTCTAGCTCGGCGAAGGGTTGATACCCTTGATATTCTTGGCGTTCTCGTGGACACATATTTGGCACAATGAATAATGGATGTATATATATGATGATCCTTGATTAAATCTCTAGCACTTCGAAATCCCAAGATGTTTGTTCACTACCACAACCAAGTCGCCTCCATTTGTCTCTGCTGAGACTCTTGCTAGGATGTGCTGATCAGGGCGAATCAAAACCCCTCCACCATTGACCAATTCATCACCAAACCAGCTTTGCCTGACAATTTCAAAGTCCACTCCGAGGCGCCAGATATTAAGGCGTACACCGATCATGTTACAGTGCTTCTGTAAAAGTGTAATGCGAGGAATTCCCTGCTCCTGCCCCAAAATCAAAGTCCAAGAGCCAGGACCACAGAGATCCAGGGTACTCCACTGACAAGCCCGAACCTGATCTGCGTCAAGCTCCCTGATGTAGGACACGTCGACTGGCTTGTGAGGCAGCGAAGAACGTTTCGCTGCCTCTGTCTCCGGGGAGAACCGATCTGGGAAGCTGATCCAAGCATGAGGCAAGCGCGCCCCAGGCACGAATTTCGGAGAATAATGGGAAGCATGAGCAGGTGGCTTGGTAGCTCCATACACATATCCAATATGAAGCTCCAGCTGTGAGAAACAGTGTGAGCGAGATCTGTCTTTTATGGGAAGCGGCAACCAAGATGAAGTAGCTTACATTATCGAAATGTTCTCTTTGTCCTTCAATACCAGCCTCAACCTGTGTGCGCTGTGCCGGATCCGCCAAAGCTGCCATCATATTCTTTCGCGCTTGTACAACATCTTCGACACCTGCGGTCTTGAGACTCTGCAACAGCGCAAATATCTCCTTGCCGTTCTTAACACTCTGCTTGGAATAGGAATCCGCAACACCACGTCGTTCGGCTGTGTATGTTGAAAGTATAGATGGTGTAGCCACTCCCCGGTGAACCAAGGCAATCTTATAAGCCAAGTTATGAACATCTGCAAGACCACAATTCAAGCCTAGTCCACCAGTTGGGGGGAATGAGTGAGCGGCATCTCCAGCACTGAAAGAGACCGAAACATTAACAAGGAACCAACAGGGTCAATATTCAACCCCAAAGACTCACAGGAAGATATTCCCCTCTTGGAACGTGAAAGCAACTTGCCGTCGGAAGACCCAAGGGCGATAGCTCAGGATATCAAACGGAACATCATCTTTACCGATAGCACCGCGGATCTTGGCCCTGCACATATCTTCTGTCCACGACTCGACCGGGTGCTGTTCAACGTCTACCTGGCTGATATGTACTTGGATTCCGTCGAGATCATACCCGATGATAAAGCCCGCAGCTATAGGGTCCATTATCCAGTACAGCATACCGACACGGTCACCAACGACAGGTCGCAGATTGGCATTGAAATGGATGGTCATCATTGTTTGGTCTGAGTCTTCGCTCTCAGACTCAATACCGAGCAGTTCGCGGACCTTGCTTCTACGGCCGTCACAAGCTATGAGGTGACGGGACTTTGTTTGATGGAGTTTTCCAGTTGATCGTTCCTCAACAGTCGCTACGACTTCATCTTCGGTCTGGCTTCCAGTCAACCGCGTTGCCTCGTTAGTAACCAAAATGGCCTGTGTACTTACCTGCTCCACACCATGAATACTGAATCCCTTGATTAAGGTGATGTTGGGATCCTTTGCAATCAAGTTGGACAATTCTTGCTCTAAGGCTGGTTGGGGTATATTATGGATCATCTATACGTTTCAATTGGTTAGTGCCTTTCTCACTGCTCTCTCACTGCTCTCTCACTATAGAGAGCAGGTACGTACCTCTGGCGTGTCATCCAACACTGCAGGATCCATCCGCTCATACGGAAGCCTGCCGATCGCGGCCCCGCAAAGATTGGTGAGAAAATTGACCGAGGAGCTATCATCTCGCGAAGTGCCTAGCTGGCGAACATGCTCCTCGCCTAGGTTAAATTGACGCAAGATTTCCAAAGAGCGGGGGTTGATTGCGTGGGCTTTTGGAGCAGCTAGGCGCTCGGGATAACGCTCGATGATCAATGATTGAACTACATGAACCGTGTCAACAAGTCTTTCGTGTCGACTCATTCAATATCCATACCTCCAAGTCGAGATAGAAGGAGTGCCTGCAATAGGCCAGTCGGACCTCCGCCCACAATGAGCACTGGCACAGTACTTGGTAAAGTGCCAGAGCCACCACTCTGGTGGGAAGCAAAATCTCGGGACGGAGCCATTACCTTTGCCGGATGTGTTTCGACTTAATTTCTTCTAGAATAACTCGAAGGGCACAAGGTGATCTGGTTTCACTTTCCAGATGCACGACTTAGGCTGGGGATATGTATGGTGGAAGGAGCTGAGTGGAGGGGAGTCCCGAAGTCGGCCAGAACGTGTAATGTTTCATTCTCGCCAATCAAAGAAGCGAAATGTATTTGCTAGTGGGTTGAGACTAGATGCTTAGGCCTTTATTTCTGAGTGGATGCAAGATTATGGTAAAAACCTTGATAGGTGTAGATTGAACGACACAGAATCCACATCAAATATACAATACAGTAGGCGGGATGAAGAGGAGCTCACTAGTTTTTCCACCACGTACCGAGCCCGTTATTACGACAGCCACATATATCCCTGCATAGCTCGTCGTCAGCCTGGATTTATGATTGGCCCTGAAAAATACAGGGGAGGCCCGAAGGATTTATCAAGGTCTTTTTTTTGGATGGTGTTCGGAATACGGAGTACATTACTACCAGTACTATATGCTCGATATTTGTTTCAGACTAAAAGGGAATGGCCACTAACTATGTACTATACTCCCATGTATTAAAAGGATATTTCCGCCTTGTTCCACGCAACGCAGTGTTCAAAGTCGTTCTTTTTTCCCCTTCCTGTTCTTGACACTCCTTATTTTTCTGCTTCATATTTCGGAGGACCCTCTTGGGCATTTTCAACATGTCGGATAGCTCACAACAAGAGTCCGAGAAGAAAGTCGCAGAACAGTTCCATGCCGCACCTGGAACAGAAATACTGTTCGATGGTAGCGACAATGGAAGCATTTCTGAGCGGCTTCACCAGTTGAAGCATCGTGAAACAGGCGATGGCCGCATGTTATTGGTCCCGCAACCTTCGATCAACGATCCGAATGACCCTTTGAGCTGGTCTACTACGAAAAAAAGCTTGACTTTCTTCAACGGCTGTTGGTTTGCGTTTATGGGCGCTATTACAGGTCCTATCATGGCAGCTGGTATGTATTCATCATCTGCAGTATGGATTATATTGAGCCATGCTGATTAGTACAGGTATGATGCAACTGTCCACCACCTTCGGCAAGACCCTCCAGGAATTGACCTATGCGAACGGAGCTTGTTTGATCAACCAGGGTGTATGGAATTGTGTCTGGATGCCATTTGCCGTCAAGTATGGCCGCCGTCCTGTCTACATCTTCTCGAACTTGCTTATGGCCATCGCCTGTATCTGGCTGGCCATTGCATCCAACAAAACCTATACTGTTTTCCTGGTTGGGCGTGCTTTCCTGGGCGCATTCCAGGCGCCCATCGAGTCAATTGTCCCGTCCACAGTGACTGATATGTTCTTCCTGCATAACCGCGGAGAGCTCATTGCCATCTACGGACTGTCTGTCCTGGGAGGTAATGAGCTGGGCCCAATGTTCTCTGGGTTCATCGTGCAGGCACTTGGAATGGACTGGGCATTCTGGATTGTGACCATGTTTGTTGGTGCCAGTTTGATCTCCATGTTCTTCTTCATGCCAGAGACCAAGTTCGACGGACCCCGCCCAGATCCATTCCAGACAACCACGGTCAATGCGGATAAAGACCAGGTGTTAGTTCAGGAATCGATTGCAGTTCCCAAAAAGTCTTTTGTGCAAGAACTCAAGTTCTGGGACAGCGGAGACCCGAATGTGAATCTCCTCCACGTCTTCCTGCGTCCATTCGTGCTTGTGGCCTATCCTACCGTCCTCTGGTCGTGCTGTATTTATGGAATGGCTCTTAGCTGGAATGTGATCCTTGGAGCCTCGGTGGCACAGCTCTTTGCACCACCTCCCTACGGATTCAATTCCAACGGCCAGGGTCTCTTCTTCCTGTCGCCCTTTGTTGGCTCTATTTTCGGTGTCTATTTCTCCGGTCCGGGAGGCGATTGGATTGCCACCTTTTTCACCAAGCGCAATAACGGTATTCGCGAGCCCGAGATGCGGCTACCGACCTGCCTATTGGCGGCATTTTTCACATTCTTCGGTGCACTCTGGTTTGGACTTTCGTATGAGCACCAAATGCACTGGGCAATGCCTGTTGTGGGGGCCGGTATTCTGTCGGTAGGAAGTCAAATGGGAACCACGCTTGGCATGAACTACGCCTTGGATTGTCACAAAGAGGTAAGGAATCTGGCTCTTTTAGTTGGGACAAATTATTGTACACCTGCTAATCGTTTCCTTTTCTGGGGTTTCAGCTTTCCGTTGAGATCATGGTCACTATTGCTGCTTTAAAGAGTTGCATCGCGTGGATTTGGACGTGGGTGATCAACGACTTTATCACTTCCAGTGGTGTTTTGAGTGTCTTCATGACAGTTGCGGCTATCAATGTCGCGGTCTACTTGATCTGTATCCCATTCTATCTCAAGGGCAAGGAGATCCGAATTTGGTTACACCGGAAAGATCTTCTCCGGGCTGCTGGTATTATCTAGTTGGGAATAGGTGGAGTATTCTACTGTGCCCAGGTGTACCTGAGATTACACGCAAAACTTCCGTGTTTACGTGGATATTTAATATATACAATCTGTTTTTTTTTCTTTCTTTTTCAGTGTCTTGTGAGTTTCAGACAAAGTTCCAAGATGAACGAAGTTTATCGAATTTCAACTAGAGCGGCATTGTAGATGACTCGACGCGTAGTTTTTAATCTAAGTAACCTTATTCGGTTCTCGGTTAGATTTTGGCCGTAAATGGTGAAAACGGTGTAAATGGCCCCAGACGGCCCTAAAATGAGAGACAGGGTCTTAATATGTCTCACTTTTTATTCCCCACTGCGGCCCCACCAGGTCTTGGGGAAAGAGCCGAGTATACGGAGCTGGCCGTGGCTACAATGGCATAGTCTCCGATTTTGTGCAGGGCAATTCACCCCTTTACGCAAATCAATTACCTAGATAGACAAGTGTTCGTTTTGGAAAAGTTATTTGATTCGAAGGCCGACCATGGTTTGTCCTCATTGAGTTATATCTCGGACTTACCGTGTGCGAATGGATCGTCGCCTTCTCGCTTGTTTGCATGCATCATTCCAATCTAGCTTCATTTAAGGAGATCCACATGCTATATACAGTGGCTAAACCCACATCATCTTGCTTGGGCCGCTTCGGTTCCCGAGGTCCCTCCGAGGCCAATAGGCGAGGCAGCGATATAATTTCGATTCGTTCCTACCTTCCCCCCCCTGCTCAGAAGACCAGACTAATGCAAGGCTAGAAATCTGCCGCGAAATAGAATTTCCACGTATTGTTAGAAGCCAAATATCAACCGAGAAGCCTTAACCCATGTAAGAGGTCGCCAGCTTGCGGTTTAGCTTGGGGCCCCAGGGATTAGCTTAGATGAATTGTGAAAATTTGATTCTCCAGCTCTCAGTTTCAATATGGGCACCTCGTTATTAACTAATTAACTCACTTATTAAATCATTAACTTTGGTTTCCAGGATTATTACCACCAGGCAATTTATCATTGGACGTACCTGGACAGAAGATCCTTCAGCGTAATCCTTCTGAGCTGTGGTATGTTCTGGGCTTGGTTTGGAAAATTCCAAATTGTAATTCTCCAATGGCAGACATGGATGGTTTGATTAAAACCCTGTTCGTCGCGTGAGACTTTTCTTGGAACGGAATGCCCTTTAGTGGTTTTTGAGTGGCCTGTACAGGATGCTGGTGATACCAGGCATACGCATCCATTTCTGACTTGGTTATTCTGCACCTTCTCTTGATTTTGCCCTATACTGTGCGAGGACGTGTGGACGCATTCCCTCCCTGAAGGCCAGAAATGGTCGGAAATCATTCTGTGGTCATCCTCGCCGTTTCTTGGACGGAAACATGCATTGGCCTATTCTTTTTCGGCCTTCGGTTTCTGAGTAACTGGAAATTCGTTGGGCGGTTTAGATGGGATTTTGCTGTCGCTGGTTTGACCGTGGTGAGTGTCTGGCCTCTTTTCCATGAGTCTCGATTCCATGGCACGTGCTAATGAGTGGCTTTTCGGACAGGCGACCGAGGCTACTGCTCAGGTCTTCCTGCAGTTGTCAGTCAATGCTGGGATGGGCCGTCACTTGGATAGTCTGTCAGACACGCAGATAGTCACAGCGCTGCACTGGTCATGGGTATTCCAGTTACTAGCGATCGCAGCCAGTATGCTGGGAAAGTTGGCGATTCTCGCCTTCCTTGTCCAGATTCGTGGTCGTCACGAGAAAAAGCCGTGGTTCTTGATTATTCTGGGTGGTCTCATTGGAGCAGTTAACATCGCTGTCCTCGGAACGATTCTGGGTCAATGTAGGCCAATGCACAAATTGTGGGACGATAGTGTAGAAGGAACATGCGACCCGGGGCGCAAAATGAACCAGAACTATTCCTTCTTCCAGGCTAGTGAGTTTGCCACCACATCGACACAGTCAAAAAGATGCTGACCCATTAGGCTTCAACGCATTTAGCGACATCCTGTTGGCACTGTATCCAGTTCATCTCTTTTGGAAGCTCCAGATGAAGCTGCGGATCAAGATCGCCTTGTCTATTCTCATGGGGTTGGGTTGGATGTAAGTATTTCCCATCGAATACTTCAGCAGTCCCGAGCTAACATTTCCCGGACGCAGAGCGGCAGTTTGCTCCGCTGTCAAGACGTATGAGCTCAAGGCATTGACCGAAACAACAGATATTACCTGCAAGTCACAAGCCAAAATTCAATCCTGAAAAAAAATGCTGATTATCATATTTCCAATAGACGCTCAATCCGACCTCCTCATCTGGGCCTCGACAGAAGCTTGGATCGTCGTCATCGTCGGCTGCGTACCACCAATCCGACCACTCATGGAAAAGGTGCTGCAGCAACTGGGTTTCACCTCAAAGAAACCCTCGACTCCCTACCAGTACCGCAACTCGAGCGGATACGCAGCATATGGCACAAACAAGTCCAACCCGATGAGCCACTCCAACTTTCAGTCCAACGCATACGGGGGAGGAAGCCATTTGACGATGACCCGGACTGGATCGAGCTCAGCACATCTGCTGGGACGAATGGAAGTGAGGAACACATTGTCAATGGGCCGAAGGATGTTGTGATTAGAACTGAAATTGAGACCCGTTTCGAGGATGTGGAGGGTCAGCCGTCAGGAGATTGTAGTATCTCTGCCAAGGGTTCGCTCCATGGGCGTCGTCAGGATGCCCGAAAGGTTGTTTAATGTGTTGATTATCAAATGTGTATTATATTCTTGGTTGATGTTTGGATGGACATGTTCAGCATGGCATATTTTGTAATCGTAGATGAATGTAAGTGTTCCTTTTGTCCTGATCAACCTAGGTTAAGGAATGGAAAGACCCACATCCCCGCGGATCCCCAACGCCGCCGATAACCGACCTCGGCTCAGCGACACCCTCGTGATTATGACCTTCACCTCCCTCCCGAGGTCATTTTCTCCTCCTTTTCTTTCTCACGCATTGAGCCTATTTCCCCTCTATTCACAATGGCTTCTATTATTCGCGCGTTGCGGCCTTTGTCGCGTACCCCCCTCAGTCCGCTTGGCGGGTAAGCGACTTGCTGCCGGCCGGCCCTTACAGAGGTACCGTCTAGCCCAGGAGCGCATGCTATTGAAATGTATTCACTAACTGGTTTTCCCCCATTACAGCGCATATGCATTCTCAACCACCCCCCGCCGGCGGGAGGTCGACCTCTCCGAGCTCACCCCGACGCCGATCACCCTTTTGTCCGAGACGGAATCCCTGATGGCCGACTCGGTATCCAAGTTCGCAGTGGAGCAGATCGGCCCGAAGGTGCGGGAAATGGACGAAGCCGAGACTATGGACGCGAAGGTCGTGGAGCAGCTCTTCGAGCAGGGCCTGATGGGCATTGAGGTGCCAGAGGAGTTTGGCGGTGCCGGGATGAACTTCACCGCGGCGATCGTCGCGATCGAGGAGCTGGCACGCGTCGACCCTAGTGTCAGCGTGCTGGTCGATGTTCACAACACACTGGTCAACACAGCCATCATGAAGTACGGTGATGCCAAGGCCCAGCGTACCTGGCTGCCCAAGCTGACTACCGGCACTGTCGGCTCGTTCTGTCTCTCCGAGCCTGCGTCTGGCTCTGATGCCTTCGCACTCCAGACCAAGGCCGAGAAGACCGCCGATGGTTATAAGCTCAATGGCTCTAAGATGTGGATTACTAACTCTATGGAGGCTGGTGTCTTCATCGTCTTTGCCAACATTGACCCCAGCAAGGGTTACAAGGGTATCACTGCTTTCATTGTCGAGAAGGATACCCCCGGCTTCTCAATTGCCAAGAAGGAGAAGAAGCTTGGAATCCGTGCTAGCAGCACTTGTGTGCTCAACTTTGATGACTGCGTCATCCCGAAGAGCAACCTGCTCGGCGAGGAGGGACAAGGATATAAGTACGCCATCAGCGTATTGAACGAGGGTCGTATTGGTATCGCCGCTCAGATGACCGGTCTGGCCCTCGGCGCATGGGAGAACGCCGCTAGGTGAGATTCCCTGTCCAACATACACTCACATATGAACTCGATCAGCTGACCACAACCAAAGATACGTCTGGAACGACCGCCGCCAATTTGGCGAGCTCATCGGAAACTTCCAGGGCATGCAGCACCAGATTGCTCAGGCCTACACTGAGATTGCCGCTGCCCGCGCTCTCGTCTACAACGCTGCTCGCAAGAAGGAGGCTGGCCAGGACTTCGTCCAGGACGCCGCCATGGCTAAGCTGTACGCCTCCCAGGTCGCCGGCCGGGTGTCTAGCTCTGCTGTTGAGTGGATGGGTGGCATGGGCTTTGTCCGTGAGGGTATTGCTGAGAAGATGTTCCGCGATAGCAAGATCGGCGCTATTTACGAGGGTACCAGCAACATTCAGTTGCAGACTATTGCCAAGCTTCTCCAGAAGCAGTACACGAACTAGACGAGATGGCGTTGAATACCTACCTAAATGGCTTTGCTTATAAATAGTTTGATTTCATCTATGGATGCACACTGCGGCGTATTGCTTGTTTCTTTTGGGTGTTTATTCATCTTTCCCTTCCGGTATACAGAACACGAAAGAGCCATCATTGGTCATGCCTGTGACCACTTTCGAATTTGCTCAACTAAGATGTATAAATGTCAAACTGTGTATACAAGAAAGTAAAAGAGCAGCGGGGATGGTGGCCCCAGTGATGCCAATGTGCCCTGCCTTGTTTGGATATCCAGTTCCAACAGTAATCTTGCCGTGTAGAATCCAAATCTGTTTACTGACCTCTCAGCAAGTCACATCAGGCGTTTGTAGATGGACCAAAGGTGGGTCCGGAGCTCCAAGGCTGCACTGACAGCTTACTTTATTCGGCGCGGCTGTTATTTCCCGAGGACGGTTCAACGGCACTATTTTTTGTGTGTGGACCCCAGTTTTGAACGCGATTTCCGCGTCGGCTTTGGAGTCTGAGAACAAGCATTGCTCTGAGATTGATGGCATCTATCAGAATGAATGTCCGTACAAAGGATCTAGCACGGAACTTACATGCTGTGAGACCGGATCGGCCCGAGCTCGCAAGTCATGTGTTTCCACCGACGATACAAGGCCCTTGGATTGCTCCGGTTGCCTGGCACATGCAGTGTTCATGAGGGAGGCACCCATGGATACTCGTATGTCGGATCCGTCTGTTGCGATGGAGGCATTGGCTGCGGGTACGTTGATGTGGATGGTTGGTAGACTCGGGCGGGAGTTGGCTGAGGAACGGGACTGGCACTCGACATGGAAAGTGACCGGTTGCTGTAAGCGAATTGGGAGAACGAAGGTCCGGATTGTTGCTGGGGCGGGCAGATTGGTTGTCTCTGATGCATTCGACCATCTATCGGGTACGGTTCCATACGACTGGGGAATTCCGGATCGGAGGCTGCGAGCGACGGCGATCTTGTGGACGGATATTGTTGTTGCCAGTCATGTTGATGAGACGCCCGACGCGGTGCTGAAAGGTCCGATGGTCTTTGAGTGTGGGATGTTGCACTGAAGTGTGGCGGTAGCAATGCCCCCGTTGTTGGGATTCCGGGTAATGCACTATTCGAGGCCTGTTCCAAAGACCACTCACCTCGAAAAGGAGCCATCGGGTCGTTATTTGATGCAAACTCCGGTCGGCCAGTCAAAGAAGCAACTTGATGCTTCAATCGGATCACTTCATTTTCCAGAAAAGCATTGTGTTGCACGACTTCATCGAACCGCTCGTTTTGGGCCCGCATCTTGGCAATCTGTGACTGGAGCGCGGATACCTGAGCCTCAAGCTGTTCTATATGCCCCTTGGTGCGTTGGCGAATGGACCGCTGAGCCTCTCGATCGTTGGCACGCTTTCGCTCTAGTTGTTCCGGTGACAGCGTTGAGACTTTCCTCGTCCCTGATCGAGACTCACGCCTCTTGATAGGTGGTTCGTCTTGAGAGCTCATGGTTATTGGTTTCCTTCCACTCCCGACACTCGACGCAGGACTCCCCTCCGTTGCCCAGAACCTTTCGAAGAGAACCCCCGCTGGCGACCATGGACCCAGCACTGGAGCCTAACATGAGGGGAAGTTGTGGATCACAGGTTTTGAAAGATCGTGTGTGGGTGGCTCGAGACTATTTCCGAGCCGAGCAGGGATCAAGCCAGAACGTGACTGATCGTGCCAATCCAGGGCTAGATTAGCTTGAACGAGGATACGGGGCAGAGGAAAATAAGATGTTGCGAGGTATACCCATGGATGCTTTCAGGAGGTGATTATAGCCTTCTCAGCAATGGAGTGGCTTTGACAAGACCAGAATATTGTCCCCAACACGCATATCGCTTTCTCCAGATTGATTAACAGGCCAGGCAAATCTCCCGATGATGCGGCGAAAGAGAGACCTCAAGCCGACGCCTAAGCGCCCAATAAGCGTGGAGAAATAGACGAACTGTGTGGATAGTTACGGAGTACTCCGTACGGGCCATGGATATAGTGTCCTCTTTTTAGCCACTACGGTGAGCCCCCATCGCAAGGTCCGCTTTTTATGACTCCTGCCAAGATGAATAGGCTCAAACTTAATGAAAAGTCTTCTGTTGGCCCAAAGCCGCGTGCCGTAATGATGAGCGTTTACAATTTACCCCTTTTCCTCTTTTTTCGATTGCGGCTGACCGATATAAGTGTACTAAAATACCTTGCTCCATAAGGCATTCACAGACCATCGGTGATGATCCCGCTTGCTTGTGGAGATATGTACGGAGCAAAGGCCGGCGAAGATCCTTTGGCCCGCACTGTCTGAACGCCGATGGTCCCCGAGTATTCGGCTCGTCCAGGGAACCACGGAGCTAGGGTGTTATTTGGACAGGATGAGCATGTGGTGCGGGCAAACTAATATCTCCAGAAGAAGGGTATCCGCGGCTGTTTGAAAAGCATTTGATCGGCAATCTGTAGCCGCAATGTTTTGACTCACCAATGGGTTTTTACTTTCACGATGATCCTGGGGGACTTTAGCCGGCAACTCACGCAAAGTTCCTATTCGAGCATCACAGTGTCCGCTCTAACGGAAGTTTGAAAAGGCAGACAACCTCTACATTTTGATCCTCTAATGATCCCACTGACCACTCAGGGGATTTTGCCCCGAAGACATAGATCATCGGAGAATCAACCAAGCATCTGTGAATGTTGCGCGTTGATCACTTTACGAAACCTGCCATGAGAGCAGCACAATGTTTACCAATGTTCGATGAATAATTCCCTAAAACTTACGATAGGCGACACCATCTATGTGGAGGTATGCAAGTGGGGAATCGGGCACGGTTATTTTGGGAATGGTGGCCCTACAATATGTATGCCCAAGCGTTTAATAGGCACCGTGCATGCGGACGTTCGCATTGGTTCTAGACTAGAAACGGTCCGTGACCCCCCGGTCGATCATACGGATCTGATGCCGATTTTAAGCCGTTCACCGTGAGCTCTACGGAGTAATCGCTCTTGGCGTCGATGCATAGTGGCCAACCGCCCAAGTATGATTCGTCCTATACATGTAGTCTGTGGGAATAAAAACAGGCAGAAAATTATTCGATTCGACTAGAAACGATCGCATCCATGACGGGTGGTAATGAGGGTGACCGCCATGGCGTACGAAAAATGTTATATTGTGGCTGAGGTGTCCTTTAGCGAAACCGACGAGCTTTCTAGGAACATTATCGGAGATTGTTTACTACAATATGGTGCGACATAAGTACCTACACACCCTACGTATCGGTCTTCGCACCATATTAGGTGATCGACTGGGACTGCCCAGGTGCCGGGCGAATCATATCGATAGGATAGATGGCCCCCAAACACTCCGTAAGCTTTTCTCGAGGTAAGTTCTGACATACTGCTTTGCCTTTGTTCCAGATCATTCTACTCTATAAATTGCTACGCGTTTTTAACCTATAAATGACCACACAGCCTGCGTCCAAGAAGTTGCCTCTACCGTTTCGACTAGCTCTCCGGCAATAGGGCCACGAGAAGAAACGCTATCAGGAGAAGTGCCGAAGATACAGCGATAACATCCAACTAATTCAACAAAATATTCTACATGACAACCTCTGATATATAGAGGATTGACATATGTTCACTCGAAAATACCTATGTTGTTCCTAGGGACATGACTTGATCAGGCAAATTACCATATGCGGTTAGTCTTACTTTTTCAGGAATTGACCCATAATACACGTGATATCAAGCGAAGATAATGGGTCCTCAGTAGCCAATCATATGACGCTTACCAGACTTTGGGACAATCTTAAATGCTTGGCAACAAATCTCTTCTTTGTCAAATATAAAATTGTGTTGATTCAACATCATCAGACATCAAGTCTGATTCTTGCTAAACTAGAAGGAGCAAAGAAAGAAAGATTACGTTCATCCTGACTTCCTCTCTGTTTTGTTTTGTCAACAAGCATTAACAATCATTCATTCGCCACTACGAGTTTGAATTTTCATCAAAATTAATTGCAGTTTTTCTTGGAATATAAAACATTGACTATCATGGAAGGTCTTCAACTCAGCAATGACACTCAGTTGTACTCAACCATGGCAGGGAAGCTGGACTCCAAGCTCCTCAAAGCCCTTGACGTGATGGGGTTTACCAACATGACCCCTGTCCAGCAGCGTGTTTTGACAGAACTTCCAAACTGGCGCAGTGACTGTCTTGTCCAGGCTAAAACTGGAACCGGAAAAACCCTTGCTTTCTTGTTGCCTGCATTGCACTGTCTGCTCCAAGGTGATTCCGCCCCACCCAAGGGCAAGGTCGGCATCTTGATCATTACCCCAACCCGAGAACTTGCCCAACAGATTGCAAAGGCGTGTGATGAACTAACATCGCAACTTCCCACTCCTCTTGAGTGCCATGTTGCAGTTGGTGGAACGGCCCGAGCATCTGCTCATTCGCGCTTCATGAAGGGCGCACCTTCCATTCTTGTCGCCACCCCCGGACGCCTGTGCGACTACCTATCTGAAACTCCCACCGCTAAGAAGCTGTCTAACATCCAAACATTGGTTTTGGATGAAGCTGACACGATGCTCGAGAGTGGCTTTATTGCTGATGTGAAGCGAATCCTCCAGCTTATCCCACAAAAGAGCACTGGCTGGCAAGGCATGTGCTTCTCAGCCACTGTCCCACCCAAAGTCAAGGATGTGGTCAATATTGTTTTGAAGAAAAACTACACTAGCATTTCTACCATTGATGAGAATGAAGCACCAACTCATGAGAGAGTTCCCCAGTACCACGTGCTCATGCCGTCTGTCGCAGATACCTTCACTACACTTGCCTCCCTGCTCAAGCATGAAATCAAGACCAGCTCGAAAATCATCGTCTTCGGCGTGACTGCACACATGGTTTCCCTCCTCGCAGGAGTCTTCTGCAAGGGTATGGTTCATTTGAAGGTGTTCGAGATCCACTCCAGACTCAACCAGGGTGCTCGCACAAGAACCACGAATCAATTCAAGGAAGCCGAAGCCGGAATCCTGTTCGCTTCAGATGTCATCGGTCGTGGTATGGATTTCCCCAACGTCGACTTGGTCATCCAGGTTGGTTTGCCATCAAACGGCGAGCAGTACGTCCACCGTGTCGGTCGTACCGCCCGTGCTGGCGCTGACGGCCGCGCTATCATTCTCCTCACGGAGGGCGAGTCATTCTTCATGAAGAACAACCGCCACCTGCCCATCAAACCCCGCCCCGATACCGAAGCGATCAATGCTGGCGCTCCTTCATGCTCTAAGGCTGTCATGCAGGCCATGTACACTATTGAGGAAGAGTCGAAGCAACGGGCCTACTCGTCTTTCATTGGTTTCTTCGCTGGATCCGGTCTTCTGAGGCAGCTTCGTCTCGACAAGGCTGGTCTTGTCCAACTCGCCAACGAGATGGCTGTCAAGGGCATGGGATGTCCAGAGCCTCCCCCCAATGGACAAAAAGATCATTGGCAAGATGGGGTTGAAGGGTGTTCCAGGTTTCACCTATGCAGACCCAAATGAGATGGCCCGAAGCGGATCTTCTAGACCCCGCAACTCTTCCCGAGGTGGCAAGAGCCGTGATGCACTTAGCCCTGGAGCTGGCCAAGGAGACCGAGGGGGTATCGAGAAGAAGCGTGGAGGAGGCCGCGGAGGCCGTGGAGCACGCCGTGGGGGTGGTGGACGCGGAAAGCCGAGATCATGATTCTTTTGCATACTAATGTCAAGCACAGCGTGCTCAAATGTTACTATCCATAGACACTAGACTTACGACCTGCTACATAAAATTCCTTAATCGAAATCGAAATTACTTGCGAACAGTTGCCCACGTCCTGATTGTAAAGCTCAACCTCGAAGCTAGCCACAGTAGTCACCATTGCTTTTAATCATTTATAAGGGTAGCCGTCTAGATATTATTCCACAATATTTTGACGTAATTGACACAGTGTCATTAGTGATCTTGACAGTTGTTCTTGGGATTCGAGACCGTAAATGGTCAGGTGATCGCGGCTAGACATAACATTTAGAGCTTCAATGCTCTACCATTCCACCACGTCATTCTTTTAATTCGAACCTTTGAGGGCGGTTAGCTATCTATATTGATAACTGCCCAATATGGACCCGAGCTACAAAGCTCGCAAGGAGGCCTTTGTCTCTAATCTTGCGGGAAGCACAATCCTCGAGATCAATGCAGTCACACTCGTTGCTTCAGTGAGAAACCTCGAGACTTTACCTTGCAATTGATACATTCTGACCTGTGACAACCCTAGACATCCGTCCTCCTTTGGTCCGCGCTCCAGTCCCGCTTATCCTTCTTCACACCCTACGGCCCTGCGGCACTCGCGACCGATTTCATCCTCAATGTACTAGCCATCTTATTCGCGACGACCGCTTACTCCTCCGCACCACTTCTCCTCAACATCTTCCTCGTCTCCCCCGCGGTCCTCCTATTCCTTACCCGAAACGGCCTGCGCACACCCCAAAAAGCCAAACCGCCCCGCAAACCTAAGGCCAAAAATGAGAGCTCCCAGGGGGAACAGCAGGCATTGCCCATTCACCCATTCTTGACCACGTACCGCGCGGCGATGATGATTGTCACCTGCGTAGCCATTCTCGCAGTTGACTTCCGCGCGTTCCCGCGTCGTTTTGCTAAGGTGGAGAACTGGGGAACATCTCTAATGGACTTGGGCGTGGGCTCTTTTGTGTTCTCCGCTGGAGTCGTCTCTGCGCGCGCGGTCCTGAAGGGCCGCGACTCGAAATCTCCACGGTTAGCTTTGCATAAGAGATTGGTTGGCTCAGCTCGACACTCCATTCCTCTGCTTGTGCTCGGCCTCATCCGGCTGTGGAGTGTCAAGGGACTGGACTATGCTGAACATGTGACGGAATATGGTGTGCATTGGAACTTTTTCTTCACGCTTGGCTTTTTGCCTCCTTTCGTGGAGCTATTCGACTCCTTGACTACACTGGTCCCCTCCTATGAGGTGCTTGCACTTGGAATTGCAGTACTCTACCAAGTCGCTTTGGAGTCGACGGATCTCAAGGGTTACATTCTCGTATCTCCTCGGGGCCCAGATCTGCTATCCAAGAACCGTGAGGGAGTATTTTCTTTCATTGGGTATTTTGCGATCTTCCTCGCTGGACGGGGTGTTGGAGTCCGCATCATTCCTCGTGGTACCTCGGCCACGAAATCGCCCCAGAAGGCACGGAACTCCGTTCTGATGCGATTGGTTCTGCAGGGGATGTTCTGGTCTACAATGTTCTTCTTCAATTCCACTTACGCATTCGGCTATGGTGCCAACATCCCAGTGTCGCGTCGGTTGGCTAACATGCCATATGTGCTTTGGGTGTCAGCATTCAATAGTGTCCAGCTTTTCCTGTTCTGCCTGACTGAGACTGTGTTCTTCCCTGCAGTCCACCGTGCCACTAGCACGGAAGGCGAGGCAGAGCAGACTTCCTTTGCGACCAGTCGTATTCTACATGCCTTCAACCGCGGTGGCCTTGCAGTGTTCCTGATCGCGAACCTGCTTACTGGAGCAGTGAACCTGAGCATTCCAACCTTGGATCTCAATACCCCGCAGGCCATGGGCATTCTAATTGTCTATGCGGCTGTGCTAACTGGTGCTGCTCTGGGGATGGACAAGTACAATATTAAGTTGAGCTTGTAGATATATTCCAACACTAATAGATGTAGTATTATACAATTTTAAAAAGTTGCATATAAAATACGTTGGTAATTCATATGTTCCGCATATGCGGAGATATAAACCTTGCATTGGTGTAGAAGCTTGTCAATCGAGAATGGGTTTAGCCGCGGCATGTGATATCATCGGAGGAACAATATATGAGCCGAAGTCGCGCAAACCAATTCTGCAACTAACACTATGCCCTCCAACGAACAGTCTTTTCTTAATCACCCTCCAGCCGTGGAGGGTCCCAAAGTGCCGTACAAGTATGAAGACCAAGTCCTACCGGTCTTCCGCGGCACGCCCCTAGCCATCGGCGCTACATTGTAAGCTACAGGAGAGCTCCATTGAACGATCGCAACGTGCTAATTCCCCGCTGTTTATGTCAGAATCCATAACGTCGGGTTTATCCAAAGCCATTTCTGGCGTAATGCCGGCTTCAGTGTCATTCGTGAAATTCCCCACCTAAGCCAGTACGCCGGCCGCTACGATCCGACCGTCATTCCGGTCGACAATACCAGCCAGGCCGAATCCGCAGCGAAATCGGTGTCTGCAATCGTGGATCGCAGGAAGGGAGATCATGGATACTATACTTCTGCCGACTACCACGCGCTCTACTCGTCAGGAGAGCTGACCCCGACTGCTGTCATCGAGACGCTATTGCCTCTGGTCCGACGTGATACCCAGCCGCCCGGGAAACACTCAATTGCTTTCCTGGAGTCTCAAGCTGAATTGATTCGTGCAGCAGCGGAAGAGTCAACGGAGCGATACAAGAAGGGCCAGTCGTTAGGTCCGCTCGACGGCGTGCCGGTCGCAGTGAAGGATGAGGTGCACCTCACCGGGTATAAGCGCACGCTAGGCTCGAAGCTGGATTTCAAGCACGGTACTGATGCGACTTCGTGGTGTGTGAAGCAATGGCTGGACGCCGGAGCTATAATCATCGGGAAGACGTCCATGCACGAGATTGGACTAGGTGAGTTCCGATTATTGGTCATCATCGAGTTGCAGTAGCTAACACTCTTCAGACACAAATAACAACAATCCCAACTATGGAACTCCTAGGAACCCCCATAATAAAGAGTACTATTGTGGCGGTTCGTCTGGTGGCTCTGGATACGCTGTCGGGGCGGGTCTTGTACCCATTGCGCTTGGTGCAGATGGCGGAGGCTCAATTCGTATCCCGTCGTCATTCTGTGGTATCTGGGGCCTGAAGCCGTCGCATGGCCGTGTGTCTGGCGCGCCATCCCAAAGTCTCGCGCCCACTGTTGGTGTTATCGGTCCTATGGCTGCTAGCATCGATGACCTCGCCCTCGCCTATCGCATCATGGCCACTCCGGCACCACCTTCAGAAGACCCGACCTCATCGCAGTTCCCTTATCCTGCTCCCCCGCACCCTGACACCAACAGGACAAAGACAATTGGTATCGTCCGCGACTGGATTGACCGCGCCGAGGGCCCTGTGCGCGTTGTGCTTGATCGGGCGCTCGACTACTACCGCGAGCAAGGCTACAATGTTATCGATATCAAAATCCCTTATCTGCCCGAGGGTCAGCGTGCCCACGCTCTTACCATCATGGCGGAGATCGCATCTGGAGTTGATGCAAGCAAGATCCGGCAGCTCACAGCCCCGAATAAGGTGCTTGTCTCTATGGGCATGTACCAGATCACCGCACAGGACTTGCTCGCCTCCCAGCGGCTGCGCAATCTCCTCATGACGCATCTCGCGCATCTCTTCAAGACTCACCCCGGGCTGCTCATCGTCTCGCCCACAACGCCCATCCCTGGATGGCATATTGACGGTGGTGAGGCCGATTTGTCTCGCGGTTTGTCGGATGCCAAATCCTCTGTGCGGAATATGGAATATGTTTGGCTGGCCAACTTCACTGGCTGTCCTGCTATCAGTTGTCCTGCTGGTTACAACCCCGATAGCGGTGTGCCTATCGGTGTGATGGCTATGGGCGAGTGGGGTGCCGAGGAAGATCTGATCGCCTTTGCTCGAGATGGAGAGCCTATCTTGGACCTGCCTAGTAGCGGCCCTTCGCTTGAGGAAAATGGAACTGCCTCGGCGAGTAAGGGTCTGCGGACTCCTTCTGATGCCTCTGTGTGGGAAGATATCATTGCACAGACCAAGGAGAATTTGTCTAAGTAAGCAGAAGGGACTTTGTAATCAACCGTGGCAGGTTGACTTTTTTGTCATTTAGTATATTCCCATGTATTTATTTACGAGTTACGAGGGAAGCCTTTCGTTTGTATCAGCAAGATATGTCTCAGTCAAGCTTCTCTGCGTATTTTCCGCCTCTCTCTCTCTTCAGACTTCCAAATCCGCTCAGTCAAGCCGGCCTTTGTCTTATCCCTTGCCCGAGTTCCGCATTCGAACGTGCATCGGTGCACCATCTTTTGGGTGCGAGGTCGCTTTCCCCGTGGTATACATTCGTTCACCTTCAACAGTCCGGCGATCCACTTTCAAGCCCTGCATTTCCCGCACCTTATCCCATTTATCCCAGGCCATCTCAATATCAAAATTGCGGACAGTAAATACCAATACCAACTTGAGCACAACCACCGCCAGTTCCTGGCCAATACATTTCCTAGGCCCAAGTTGGAACCCACGCCATATATTCCTGGCTGGATGTAACTTGTCGCCTTCTCAGGCAGAAAACCGCTCCGGAATGAATTTCAGCGGATCAACGAAGTTAGCCGGATCATGATGAATGGTGATAGAGCTGTCAAAAAGATCGAATCCATCTGTCGGCCATGGCTTGTCCTCGCCGTTTATTTTCAGGTTGAATGTAGGCTGGCCTTCCCGAATCGTGATTGTTGCTGGATTCATGCGCAGTGTCTCCTTGATCACTCCTAGGGTATATTGTAACGAGTCCAGGATATGGGGCGCTTGACGAATCTTCTCTGCAGCAAGGCTTGGATCGGAGCCGAGGACCGCGTCATGTTCAGCCTGCAATTTCGCCACACATTCGGGGTTTAACTGCAGTTGTCTGAATACACGGGGGATTGTGATGGATAACGCATCGTCCCCACCAAAGAAGAATATCATCAGCTGGTAGAAGACTTGTTCGATGAAAGCATCATCTGGGGTTTTGAGGCCGGTTCCATCGACTCCAAGTTCGCCAGTGTACTCTTCAACAGCAGACCGAATTATGGTTCGTGGACTATTGCTAGCATCATTTATACCTTTGGTGATAAAGGGTCGAAGATGTTTAAAGAGCAGGTTTCTCTTACGTCGTACAATCAGTTTGAACAACGGGGTAATCCTCCAAAGAAGCTTGCGAGGGCTCAGGGTTATTTCCATGCGGCTCAGTTGCTCGCGGTAAGCGATGGTGAATGGAGAGGGATATAGCGATTGAGAGTTAAGCCGGGTGTCACTACAATTGTCAGCAAAATGAGTAGTCAGTATTCACAAGACGGTAGGCTTGACTTACAGAACCACTCTCCCCGTGACATCGAATGCCAAGTTGCTGGATATCTGCTCAAAGGGAAAAACCTGACCCCATTGACCATCCCCACCGGAAAGACCTCTAAGATCATTCGCAAACGCGTCAACCTCCTCGATAATAGCAGGTACCCAGGTTCTGATGTTGGTCCGACTGAACCCAGGGTTGAATCTCGAGCGCCACATGTGCCACTCCTCCCCGTGCATGCAGTTGAGGTCCTTCCCATTCGAAATGGGATTCAGAAACTCGCCTTGCATGGGAGACTTTGGCAAACTGCTCCCTATCTCCATTTGATTGGATACATAGGCCTGTAAAGAAAATGCCATCGGTCTGGAAATAGGCCATACATCGAGGTAAATAACAGGGGGACATTCTTGCTCGTTTGGGAAGAACTTTGGCCAGTATTTGCTGATGTAGAAGCCAAAGGTCTGGATGAAGTTGGCGTCAAAGGCCCAATCTCTGTAAAATTGGATCACAATGAGGAAATGACCCAATAAAAACGAGTGAGGCAAGATTGGCTAGTGATGTTAGCTTGGGATTCTTTTCGGCAGAGCAAGAGACTTACTATGCCTTGAGATTGAAGTTTTCTGAATTTCATTCGTGCTTGACATAATTGAACAGTAAACCGCAATACCAGCACTGCCACGATGGTTATGACAAGCAGGGACAGCTTCTGTCCTTTTCCCAAATCACCGTGTTTGGGCGATAGCGGAAATGGAAACATGGTTGCTGTGTCCTGGGAGGAATTATATACTTCCATTTTCAAGAGTAAGGTACACCACGGATAAATGTGCAGAGAGCTTATAATTTGCTCAGGTAACATCATGTGGGGAGACTTTGAGCTATATATGTTGCATCTTGTGGTGTCGAATAAAGGATGTTCAGTGTTAGCAGCGTAGACAACACCGCCGAGGGACAAGGGACTATGCAAAAGAACATGCAGATCCAAATATGGTCTTTAATCGAACATGGATTTGATCTCGTTGTGCAAGCGGTGTGTTGTTGTATTGATGTCATTTGCATAGTTGTGGACATCAGTGTAACACTCGGCTGCAATGATGGGATTAAGATTTAGTAATACGAAGTCGCGTATACTGCATTTACCAATTGCAGTATTCAACGTAGTGTAGGTAAGCCGTAAGACCGGAATATTGCGTGATCCCTGTCGAGTGCATGTTCACAGTTGCAGTTACGAACTCCCACTGGCTGACATGCAGCCATTGGTTGTCGCCAAGAATCTTCACATCCGGATGCAAGATTAGCGCTCCCGATGCAGGTCGATTGCCCTACACAGTTTGCTGCATGGAATCTGAATCATGTTCTATCTTCAGCAGGCCAAACCTTGCGATGTGTTGATTCAATGCGTCCCAATAGTACCGAGGGGTTATTCGATCAGGGAAAGCTAGCAAAGTCTATCTATATAGACCAAATTTTCTGGGATGGACAGGGATTAGAATTGGACACTCTTAATATATCAATTTCATACTTACAAAGTATACATGTATTCTATTTGCAAGAATGCCAATCTAGTATATGTAGTATGTAGATCCGCCATCTGTGCCATTTAACAGATGTACCATTTAACAGATGCTACTTAGATATGCCATTTGGTTGTCTCTGATCATAATTCCCAGATCATCTGCATATGTAGTCCTGACTTTCAGGTATCCCTTCGGCCGAGCTCCTGCAGGTCGTATAGATCCTATAGATCTATCCATCGGCTATCATGACTAGTGGAGTATATGGTTCATGTCTACTGTCATGTGATGCATATTCCCTACGTTCTTGTTGAGCCACGTCAGATATTCTTGGCATCATATTGATAACCAATAGTACAAACATATATGCAGTCAATATCGTGTAACAAGTAACGTTTTGAAGTTCTCAAGACCCCTGTCTCAATCGCTGCAACGCCAATGCCACACTGGCCCTATCCTAGCAGATGCTTGGACGCTTGATATTGAGATTCTTTTCTAGTCGAGTGTAGTGATTCTTAGTGGAGACATTCCATCGAGCTGCAGAGTACATGTCTTGCCCTTGTACACCCTGCTTTATTATATCCCAACCAGCAAGTCCAAATACTCCTAAGAAACCGTCAAATGGCGAAGGATCAATAAAACCATAGCCGCAGTGGAAGACACGGTGCCGCGCACTACACCCCCAAATTAGTAGTGGCACACCTATTCAAAGTACTTCGGGGCCAGTGCCAGAGAGCGTTTCTTGCTGACTTTCAGGTTACTATACCCACATATGTACATGTGTATGTACCTACATGTAGGGAGATAGTATCCCCTCAGCAAATGACACAACGCTTATATGACTTTGTCCATCCTTAGCCATAGTACGGATCATATTATACCTTTTCCTAAGCGGATACTACCTACCTAGGCAGGGACTTAGTAGTAACTTACATAGTCAGCCAAAAATGCTGCCTGGCGCTATACCAGAAGTGCTTTGAATAGGTGTGCCACTAGTCTTTTGCGGGTGTGCAAACAGTAATTCTCCTACCAGAATATCGATCTTTTGGCCATGTTCAATGTTGGTCTATGAAGCCGACCATACCAGTGGATATGTCCGATTGCACCTCTCGTTTATGCACGTCTGATCCATCTCAGCATCTCAATTCGGCTTTGCTATTGGTCTCCGAATAGTAACACTCTCGGACCTTGCCATTAGACCTGATTATTAGACCTGATTATTAGACCCACGAGAACCAGCGGTGTGCGGGCTATTTGGATGTGAGAGTCGCGTGGGTCACTACTTCCTATCGGAAGGTTTAGGTCTACGTAGTCACAATGTACTACGTGCATAGCATACTGGCCCCCAACTGTCTCTATCTAACATAAAAGGGTATATGTTACCTCCAAGATCAGACATTCTCTCATACATTTCCATTAACACAATCCCAGAACATCTAAATCTCTTTACACAAGATGCAGGTGGCATCCAATTCTTCCGCTGTTCCCCCAGTCTCGACCATTCCTTCGGTATTCGAAACTGTGCAAGGCTACAAGGTGCCCGTTTTCTTCTCACGCTACCCTGCGGGAATCAGCATTGCCGCTCAAGAAGTCGAAGATGCCCTCAGAAAGATTGATGAGGAGGCTTCCGAGGAAGGCACAAGGGAAAGGCGTCGAGCACTTATCCGACACACCAACCCCTACGGTGACCCGTTCGCCGTTTGCCACTGCTCGGCCTTTCCGGACAGACTGATTCTGTTGTCTTGCCTGGTCGAGGTGATGTGGATTCATGACGGTGAGACACCAATGTGCTCAAAATATATGTTGTATGTTAATGGAACTATATATAGACGTGACAGAGGAGATGGATCATGCCTCTGTAAGAGCACTAGAAGTTCGCACATAGATGACCATCTAACAATCTATAGGCATGCCGAGAGCATGACGAGCTGGCAAAGGTCCTTCAACTTGACATTGATCCATCGGAGTTCGAGTCTGGAAACGTGCGACAAAAGTCCCTCGCAGCCGTGCTTCGGAAAGCAATCGACATTGACCCTGGACAAGCTCCTGCTATGATCGAGATGCTGAGACACTACCTGGCAACATTTGACAACATCGGTGGTGACTTCACACGAATGGAGGAGTATATGCCATACCGGATCGCGAACTGCGGCTACTGGTAAGTCTTTCGTACGTTCCTAAAGAGCTTTCACGGTCAAAGCCTGACGAGTATTATCAAGGATGTCCTCTTACTTCATCCGCTGGGGAATGGATATGACCCTCAGTGAAGAGGACTACGCCAGTATCGAGCAATACGACATTGCAATGGGGAATGTCCTGGGTCTGACCAATGACTACTTCAGTTGGAATATTGAGAAAGACCAGGAGACTGATCGAATGAGAAACGGAGTAGTGGTTCTGATGAAGGAACATAACACCACAGCGGATGCAGCAAAGATGATGCTTCTTGGTGTTATCGTCGAACAAGAGTCCCTGGCTGCGAAGCTCAAGGAGGAAAGATTGAAGAAACCCGTTTCAAAGGAGATCTTGCAATACTTCGAGGCTATTGAGCTTTATGTTGGTGGAAGCTGCTATTGGCACTCGACTGCGCCTCGCTATCAGGTCTTTGAATGAGTGTACATAAAGTCACCCAGTTCAAATGTAGATAGGTATATTTCATATAGAGGAATAGATTTATCTAACGCTTTCCAGATGGAAAGAAATCCCAAGCCTGGGAGACGGATGGGTACCCAGATTGTAAAAGGCCAAGCGGACCCGGACTTGAAATATCAAATTATGTCTATCGCCGGTGATTCTCCAATTCTACGGGAATCTACATGGAATGTAAAGATGCAATAAGAATATTCGTTGACTGAGAAATGAACCCGGATTAATATACATTGAATGACGAAGAAAACGCTGCACCAAAACCAACAAAACAAAAATCCTCCTAGTAATATCCATAAGTCTCAAATCCATATTCCCTCAAGAGGATTCGGGATAAAGAATTCACAACCCAGATGGGCTGCTTCACCATGATCCTGGAGCTCTCTCAGGATCTGATCTCTAAGGTGAGGCCCATCAGTAAGATTCTCCTTGATGTGAATAATGTAGACATTTAATCCTTCCAGGGAAGAGTAGTATCAACCGAAGCCCCAGAGTCCGGATTTCCCGTAGTATCTGCGATATCCGCTTTGGGTATCTGAGGGGTCTCAAATGACTCGCTCGGATGCGATCGAGGCTCAGCAGGCGGCTCGGGTGTCCGGCCTTTATCGGCCGAGGAGCTTAGAGTCCGTTTCGATCGAGGGCTCACTTGCTCGCTGCCGGTCTCGGCAGGGGGGTCACGCTTGCGCTTTTTCTCGCCCGTAATCGAATCCCGCACTTCCGTAACTCTGTTGGCGAGCACGCTGAGCTCGGAGACGAGATGTCGTGGACACATGTGGCCGTATAGATATGAGTCGTCGGTGCTGTCATTGTAGGAGCATTCGATGAAGATCGCTCGTAGTTTCCCTGTGGCGATCTTCGGGGCCGCGGCTTCCCATACTCGTTTGTTGTGGGTTCCCATGGAGACTGAGTCGGGCTCGACGTCACCAAACACGATGATCTCGCTGCCGGTGTGATGATCGCGCAGAAAGAAAGCAGAACTCTCCACTGTTGCCATCACTGGCTCTTTGGAGTTGGAGGGGAGTAGACGTGGAGAGCGAGCGGGGGAATAGAAACTGGGGAATGGTTAAGTTGTCTCGTTGAAAGATTGCGAATCTTAGCTTACCTGCCATCGGTATGGTCCACTGAAATCGCCCTTGAAGGAAGCATCAATTGGTGATCGGAAAAGACAGTACTCCCGACTCGGTGATGCATTCCACTTTCTGGATGGTATCGCTGCTTGCACCGCCCATGGCTAACACTCAAACATTTTGTCAGTAGGCCATTGCACGCCCTGACATAGCCTCTACTGTCCCCACGACCGAAACGAGGGTTTCCACCTTCCACCAAGCGCTGATATGTGAGCAGACCAGCACCCCCATCCTCGTCCGACAAGTTAGGCCATATGACATCATTGAACATGTGGTTCTTCAGAGCGGATAGCACAGATGGCAAAGCAGCCACAGGCTTTGGCCCGTTGCCCGCCTCCAGAATTGGAGTGTTAATGGCCAGCCCTGAGATATGATCTAGATGAGGGTGTGTGATGAGAACAGCACCGATAATTTCGCGAAATACATGGGCTGCATTTGCCTGTGCTGTGCGACAGGGTAGCTCGAGCCCCTGAAATGGCCCACTTGTCATCATCCCCTGATCATCCCTGCATTCGGGGATGTATCGTTCCAGTAGTCGAATGATGCCTGCGAGAAGGGTACCCGCATCAACAGCTACAACGGAGTTTGAAGACCATTTCGTGGACGTTGACCGGACAAGAATGCCTGTGACGCTATCTTCGCGGGGTCCACCAGTCGGGCCCTGAGAACGTCAGCATTCAGGAAGTAAGATTTGCAGGGTTCCATCTGCTAGAACCCGCCATCAGGCAAGTTGAAAAAACAACATCCAATCGCCAAGATATCTAATCAGACCTCGACACCTGGCCCCACGTGACGGGCTCTACAACAGACACGAAACAAATCAACGGGTCCTGACTTACCAAAACAATGACGTGGAACGCTGGTTTCTCAGCCATTGTTCCACTTGTCTCGCTCTTCGTGGAAATGTGAGACACGAACAATAAACTAGACTTGTCACAGCCCAAGAGCAAGTGAAGCTGCCTGAGTACGCCTAATCCCCAATAGTAGGCTGATCTCAATGATAGAATGTTTCACAGAGGCTCAAATAGACTGGCTGATGATCAAAATTTGGGATATGAGAGGCGGCTAATAAAGACTGCCGGGGGGGGAGGAAATTACGTCGCAACGCGATAGTAGCGAACACGGGTTGTGATTCGGACTGCTCAAAGACGTTCGAAACTAACAGCCCTTTGAGTACCATGTGCCATACATAGGATAGGCCTATCTCTAGGAAGCAGAGTTGCTGTTCCTCGACGAGGGAGATAGAGACGCGCGAAGCGACAGAAATTTGGAGGAGGCTGGGTCGGCAGAGTGCAGATAAGAGAACTCCGATTTCGTGGGGTAGATGTTTCCCCAGCTCCGTATCACAACGGGGCGCCTTGTGCGTACGATACACTACTGCAGGTAAACTGCAGTGCCGATTGGAGAATATTTGTTTCAGCAAAGTACTCTGTTAAGTGAGGTTTGGTCGGAGACGCCGGGAGTGGACCAAGTGGATTCTAGTGGGGTATGACCGCAATGGAGCCACGGATACGGAATGAAGATCTGGGGTCTGAGATATCAGATGGAGATTTATAGGTAAATGTACTCTGTACATATGTAGGTAATGCCTGATACTGTATAGATCTTATGAGTAGATTTTTCGATGACCTCCACACTACGATCTCGCCTTTAAAGGATTACCAATTCAAATATTTATCTCAACATAGTGAAACCTATGGAGTACATTTCTTTATAGCCTTTGATCTGTCAAATTGTGTAGTGGATCAGCATGTGACCTGTCAATAGATCTGCCTGATTTCAAATAAATGTACAGATTTAACATAAGGAGGGTATGCGGTCAAGAAGGGCAAGGATAGCAAAACGACGGTGCCCTTATAATGAATCCATTGAATGACTCCCCAAGGGCAAGGGACAATAGGGACACAAAGCCCATTCCAATCCAGACAGAAAACATACCACAATAACCAAGAATCTGCCTTCGCCAACTGCTATAACGCCTCCCGTGAACCCGCTAATAAAACGACAAAGAAATGATCAGACAAAGCCTCTCATGCGCCATGAGGTATGTTCAAAAGCAAAGTGGGGAATAGATGTTGCGTCAGGACCGATCGTTGGCCTCTGAGTTATGTTCGTTCAAGTCTCTCTCCACCACAGTTTGGTAACTTGGTAGAAATTGACCACCAGAATCCACAGAGTCATTTGATGGAGAGTTGGGATGCTCAGAATGCCTAAAACTAGGTGGACTTTCTTGAGAGGCATCGCTGCCCCTGCGGCTGCCGTCGGGACTAGAATACTCTGGCGGCGGGGCCTCCGGCTCTTGACTATCAGGAGCTGCCGCGACGTTGCCCTCTGCATCGGCCAAAGCAAAACGGCTGGACCCCTCGCCAGCATCTTCATGAGAAGGAATGTGGGTCAGCTGAGCGAGGGAAATGTCAGTTGGTGATCGAGAAGGACCCGGGCTGGGCGCCGGAGGGATCCTAACACTTGAGCCTGAGGCCGCGTAGTTTGCATTTTGGTAAACGCGCTGAGAGATTTGAGCCGCACTCTCGCGGCCTGACTCAAGTAGAATGCTGCCTTGTTCACTGCCATAGGGTGGGGGCGGGGCGAGGCTGCCAGTCATGGGGGCCAAGCCCCCTTTTTTGACATTGCCTTCGATGAACACGAATCCCATTTGGCCAAAGTTCACGTGGACAGTGCAAGGACCGTTAGCACCGATGGTGGGAAAGAGGTTTTGCGAGCGATAGTTATGAGCCACGTCCTCCAATTTCTTGCCGTTCCTTGTGAAGAAGACGGTGCCAGATCGAGGTCGGTAGCCTACACCAACAACATCGCCCTGAAGTAGTGGAGGCCCGTATGGAGTGGGATTAAATGGTTGATTGAGTCTGCGATGTCCCGTAGATTGGTAGGCAACAGAGGTTTTATGGAAGCCTAGCGGTTGTTAGCGGGAAATCCTCGGGAGAAACACTTGAGTTGCAACACGTACCAGGCATTCGGAACAGGGGGTATGGTTTCGTAGTCACACCGATGCCGATCGTGGTCGAGTCAGGCTTATCGTATATCTTCGCCTCCCAGTAGTAGACATCATTCTGCTTAGGGATTGGAAGGTTGGTCTGCACACTGCACTCGGAGTCGAAGAACTCAATTTCTGTTTGTCCTTCCACAAAGCAGTTTGCAATTTCCAGCTCTGGCTGGAATTCCCAGGCAGATACACCTTTTTCTTGGATCGCGAGGAATTGTGATAGGGAGATGTCGCTTTGCACGGACTCGGGAGGGTTTCCTTGGATAAAAGCTACAGCCCATTAGTAAAAAGATCGAAGAGACAGACATGGAAGTTCATCTCCAGTCTTACCTTTTGCTCGCAAATATTCCGATCGCGCCAAGTCATCCATTGACTCTAGGGCCGCCTCTTCCTCGCGCAAGAACGCTTGCTCGTCGTCGTATTCACCGGGCCTGCCAATGCGATCAAGCATGATCCGTCCCCGGCGGGTATATTTGAAAAAGAAAAAGATCGCTAGAACAATAAATGCGACGGCAGCCGAGCCGAACGCAGACAAGATCCCGATCAAGATGCCTTTGCCGGTTGAGCCGCTCGAGTTGCCACTGGCCAGCATAGGCTCGGGACGGAACTCCATCGACAATGAGGAGATAACATTTTGTAGATTCGCTTGAATTTGTTGCTGCGAAAGTGATGTATCGCTTTGTGTCGGTGTTGGTAATGGTAGCGTTGAGGAGACAAAGCCAATCGGTGACGTCGTCGGGTTGCCTATCACTGTGCTCAGGGTTGATGGCAGGCCTGCGAGCGCACCGGGGCTCGGAGCCTCAGGACCCTGCATCGTTCATGTGTCAAGTAAAAGAACAAAAAAAGAGAAAAAGTCAATAGACGGGGAAATATTGAGATGGGGTGGTAAAGAGGAGGTGAGAGAGAGATAAGTGGGCGCGGCCCAGGTGAAATGGGCGGGTTATCTAAGACGTTTTCGGCCCAGGACCTACCTAGAGCCCTGTAACTAACAATGCAAGGCAATGTATGAGTTGGTTCCTGGATTTGAAGATCCTGTTTTCTGGAATATTTGGAATATTTGAAGGAATCTTATGTCTCTAGCAAAAATTGGACTTTTGATCTTAGCAATAGCTGTAATATAGCAGTCGGTGTCACACTGGGGCTGATACGGTCTATCTATCCCTACTCAGGATAAGCCCTTCTCTCCTCTTCCCCTCTCTCCTGGCTCCTTACTTGAGATCCCTCTTCCCTCTCTTTGTTTCAGTTTCAGTTTCTTTGAAGAATGCGTGCAAATAGTGGTGCCCAGGGGTCTGCGGCTCAAGACGTCATGATCAATCCCCTCGACTCCTATAATATCCGCGTGGTGACTTCCACCTCCTGCGATAAATACCCAGGTCGGTACACTTCTCCCTACAGTGCACATCGCAAGGTCGGAATGCCTTTATTTGCCCTCCTTTGCCTCACATACCTGTTTGCTACTCCACTGAACTCGCGACCGATCGTCTGAGACTCGAGCTGACCAGACCGCTCTCACCAGCCAAGCACCATGCGCGCAACGTCGCCCGGAAGCTTGGAGCTTCAAGTGGCTTGATCTTCCTCTCCGGACAGCCGACAATTAATCTGCGCGACTCCGATCAATCGCGCCCATTCCGACAACGACGGTACTTCTACTACCTGAGCGGAGTTGACGAGCCCGACTGCTCCCTGACGTACGATATTGAACAAGACCTGTTAACACTTTATGTCCCGGATTTTGACCTCCACCGTGCTATTTGGATGGGACCGACCCTCTCACGGGAGGATGCGCAAGACCGGTATGATGTGGACCATGTACGGTATCACGCCTCGCTCAAATATGACCTGCAGGCGTGGCTGGACGAGCGAAAGCAAGGCAGCGAGCTGTACCTAATCCATGACTCGGAGAAGCCGGAGCATCTGCCAAAAGATCTGCCTTTGAACCTGGAACAGCTAAGACCTGCTATGGACACAGCCCGAGGTGTCAAGGACGAATATGAAATCCGGATGATCCGCCAGGCCAACAAAGTCTCGGGGCTTGCTCATCGGAGAATCCTAGAGAGTATTCAGTCTATGTCCAATGAGTCCCAGATTGAAGGATCATTTTTGAACACCTGTATCTCGCACGGCGCCCGGAACCAGGCATACCAGATTATCGCAGCATCGGGACCCAACGCCGCTGTCCTGCACTACGACCGAAATAACGAAACTCTCCACAAGAAACCTCTCGTCTGTCTCGATGCTGGCGCGGAGTGGAACTGCTATGCGAGTGATGTGACGCGGACCTTCCCGCTTACCGGCGAGTGGCCTAGCGACTACGTGCGGGATATCTATAAGCTAGTAGAGCGCATGCAAGAGGAGTGTATCCGACTGATCCGGAAAGGGACACGCTATCTATCTCTCCACAATCTAGCCCACGACATCGCGATCGAGGGTCTCCTGGCTCTGGGTGTGTTCAAAAACGGCACGAATCTTGAGATCCGTCAATCTGGCGCATCCAAAGTATTCTTCCCACACGGACTTGGTCATCATGTCGGTCTTGAAGTCCACGATGTATCGGAGCGGTCAATCATGGCTCTTCAGCGGTCCGATGAACTCCAATACCGCCCGATCCTGAACTCCACCTGTCTTTCGCCGTGCACTCTCTCCGCTCCACTGCTGGAAGAGGGAATGGTCGTGACTGTTGAGCCAGGACTCTATTTCTCTCCTCTGGCTATGGACAACGCGCGCCAGCAGCCATATGCCCGGTATATTGATTTCGATGTCGCGGAAAAATATGTTCATATTGGTGGAGTGCGCATTGAAGATGATATTCTCGTGACTGCTACTGGGTACGAGAATCTCACCACTGCACCTAAGGGCGAGGAAATGCTTGCCATTATTAGAGGATCGGTATAGAGTATAACTTAGTACAATAAATAGCGACATGCGGGACACTATCCATTCTGCAACATCGATACAGGTCATTATCAATGACATGTCGAATAAAGATGAATACAGTTATCCTCTTCGTATGTATCTCAATTTCTTTGTCTATGTATTTAAGCAAAGACAAGCTGCTTCGAACTGGTCTATAAAGAAAACGCTCAAATACTCCGTCCATGACAGCAACCAAAGCTGGAAAACAGGAATTGTCTTCGTCGCCTGCATCGATATACATCACGTCCAGGTCTTTCGTTCCGGTTTGCCCTTTATATCCTCACAGGGGTTTTCGTAGATCGAGCTGGTGCAGCACTCGCTGGTGTTCTGTTTTCAAGGCTTTGAATTCATCATCTAACTGATGGTGCCATGGGTATAAGACGAAGACTTGGAATGCCAATGCTGAAGAGGCAACTCCAAAATTGATGAGAGAGATTCCGCGAGTGATCCACATGGCCAAGCAGACTGTTTCATCAGTAACTGGGCTGAAAATGAGTGGGTTGATAGGATACTCACCGTAGAGTGAGGAAAGAGAATATTGGTATTAATGTTAGATGATGGATATGAAGCACCTAGGATGAGTTATAATATGCAGAACAAGAATGAATGCCTTGGAGGAAATATAAGTAAAAGGGGGCCGAGGTCGAATTTTGTTGTTCCTGGAATTCCAGTTACAGTCTATAAACACCCATGGTCCTTTCGATTTCGGCAGGAACTCCGCTGGACCTATGAATTGATACCGAATACGGTTAGAGCAATAGAGAAGTGGAGAAGGATCGTTGCGGCAGAAAGTTTTACCGACCAAAACTCTTATCTATCGGAGATCGATCGTATCAGTCGGATCCGAAGAGATAACAATGCTCAACTAAATTATAAACTTACTCGCTCTGTTTATGACCCTTAAGAACCCCCCTAAGCAGAAATTTATCATAAAGAGTAAGGGCTTCTACCTTGCTCCTCAACAGAGAATACCTCTAACAACTGCCTTCATAGATCACCTTTCTCCCAGTCTCGAGACAGACCCAAGTATATCCAAACAATGGAGTCCACCCAACAGAGTATATCGCAGCAGCTGTTCAGTTGGGTAAGGGAACAGAAATACAAGCTAGCTGGCGCCACCTTCGCTGCCAGCATGGTCGGTTCCTTTATTCTAGTTGGCCGCAACCCGTACCTGACGGGTAAACAAAAGATTGTGCAGGCTCGTGTCTATGCACAGGGTCTAACACTGGCTGTCATTGTCTCGTTGGCTGCGCTGGACATGGCAGACCGACAAAAGCCATATATCGCTCAGAGGAAGCAAGGTTCCAAGCAGTCTGATGGAGAGATCTAAGGCCAGGAATTTCCAAGACGGCTATCATAGACGGAGGAAATATGTATAGAGATGTCGATATGTATTGTATGTTAAAGCTTAGATTAAGGTGCACCAAGTCAGTCACAATCAGCTCTTGGAATGCAATGTGTAATTGTACTCGATATTCGAGTATCCAAAGATTCTTCGGTCCCCTTTCTTTCATACTTACTCGCTTAGCAGGACAACGATCTCCCTTCCACATTACTACAGGTATATCTTCTCTGTCAAGTCTTCACTTCACAGTATCTCAGTAAGTAAAGCAATTGAGCTTATATTATAGCGAGAGCGGATATCTCTTCTGCTATAGTCGGCAGTTAGTAGTGCAAGCTCTGATATCGGGAGATTCGTAGATATGGTAGTTATAAAGCGTCATGCTGTAATCATTCTGCCTCGTTATGGATCACTTTCGGCATGTCCAACAATCTTCTGCTCTTCTCTCAAAAATGAACCATCTTTCAAGAGCTGACGGGTCGAACTCAGCGGGAATATAGATGTGGTCCTAGAAAGCTGGATGAAGTGCATGATTGGAATGCACAAGTTACGATAATTCAAAAAAATCTTCGCCGATTTTGACATATCGCCGTTACGCGGTCGCGACGGCGGCAACGCCATTGTCCATTTATTTTATATCAATATCCTCGTCGTAATCTTGAACGTTTTGCTCCTCCTCGCGGATTATGAGCTACATTACATTCAAGTGAGCTTCAAGACGGTGGTATACAGCACCAAGCTGAAGTTAGAATTCTCTATGCTTAACCGTCTCCGGTTACTAAGGAGTACGAATCCCTACGTCTGCTAGTATAGACCCGAGGACCGCCGCCGATCAAGCGATAGGAATATTTTGGGATGGTTTCTTCACGATCAACTGTCGCACCAGATGTGCAACCTAAAGCTACCTAATCCGGTATGCCACGTCGTTTTTTGCGGCCAAGTAGCATCCATAGACACGCTACGCGAGACGTCTAGTGAGAGTACAACGCCCCTAGAAGACGCTTCTTCTTCGGCAACACTATTAGAGGGCCACTCAAACACCCTTCCGAGTAGCTCCTTAGACACCCTACCTACGCTAGAATTAAGCCTGTCACAATTCTTACTAAAGTTCGACGTCTAAGCATTCCACGAAGAAGTCTTGTTCGTTTATTTCGGGCCATCAACGGTGGAGCAGGGGACCTGTGCCTTTATACTAGGAGGTATAATCCGGTATAGCCTTGCTGGCTAGCTAGGTGGCGACAGCTTTAGCGAGACGCTTGAGTCCAATTCTTTTTAGACGGTGTAATGGATGAATCGTGTCTGAGAGGATGCTATTCTACGCTTGCTAAGCGAATGTCGTCAATATCGGTCGGCGCGATAGGCCATTCGCAGGACGGGATAGAATGTGAAATACATTTACAGATCAGTGAAGAAGTACCTATACAGGGGATATGTCATCAAACAAGTCTCGTACTATCTGCACCCAAGTTCGTTGTCCAACGATGTTTACCAAGATGCCTTTCGGTTTCAGCCCACTGGAGGTAAACCTGATTGAGCAGCCGGGCCATGCACATTAACCTGCCAGGCAACTTGTGAACAGAGCTCGGAGCCTGACATCACCATTGTCATGGGTGTCGGTATCGGGATTACATATATCCCGGCTCTGGTCAACGACAACGGTATTGCAGCATAAAATCTCTGGGTCAAAGGCAACTTCGATAATTATAAACCGGAAGAGAACTGCTCAAAATGGAGGAAGAAATTTCTGTACAATCACAGGGTGTCTTGGAGGCTCTTTCACGGTTCGTGAATATATTCCGCTATCATCTAGGAAGTATTACAGTGTGACTAGGCTTACAGATTACTAGGTGTCAAAAATCTGGCGAGTTCAAAGATATGACCCTTGTCTGCGAGGGAGAAAGGATCAACGTACATAAAGTTGTGGTTTGCTCTCAATCGGACGTACTTCATGCTGCCTGTACTGGCAACTTCAAGGTTAGTAATTTACCATAGCACTACCAATGACGAGCTCTGATTCGTCTAGGAGGCGTCATCCGGCGTCTATGAGTTTTTGGACGACTCAAAAATTATTGTTAGAAAGCTGGTAAGCTTCTTTTACACAGGAACCTATAGCGACAGAATACAGGCCTCTGAGACGGAGCAGCCATCGTGCTCTGCTCTCCAACTCCATGCCCGAGTCTTTGTCTTGGCTGACAAATATGTCGTCAAAGACTTACCCGCGTTATGTGTTAAGAAGTATAAGAGGAGGCTTGAGGTCCTATGCGATCCGATCGAATTCATTGAATCCATCCCGGAAGTATACGCTTTACCTCCTACATCAACCAGAATTTTGAAAGAGGTTGTAACACGCTTTGCACGGATCAATATTTCGAATTATCTACGGGAGGAAACTGTCCAGATGGCCTACAACAGTGTTGCCCAGAACGTGCCCGAATTTGTCAAAGATCTTCTCGACTTATATATCGAAGCACCGTTGCTTGGAAACTGTGCGGATTGCGGACAGCACGTACCTATGGTAGCTTTGCAAGGGAGATGCCGACGATGTCGACGTGGCACGTCAATGATTGCTGGGTGTGTTTAGCAGCTGCATGGAAAATTCCAGCTGCTCGGTTTTAACGGAGATAAGACGAGCGAGAAAACGATGAGCAGTTCAAAATTGACAAGACGTCTTCAGCGATGTGACAGCGTTCTACATAAAGTTGGTAGACTGTGATTTTGATCTCGACCTTCACGCCATCTGGCAAGAGCCCTCTGACATACCGACACCACCTCCCTGTCTCGCCGCCGATCTCGATCCGCGACATATTCTCTCCAATGAAGGCGGGCATCCCGAATATGAGACCCAAGGTTCTTCCTTGATCGAATTTTTCCCACCCCAGTCACGACAATCTGCCCGGTTCCAAGTGGACAGCTCCATGAGCGAATGGGTAGCAACGCGAAGATCTGACGGGGATATGGAACGTTATCTCAATGCACCGCACCGATTTATATGGCCGGATCTACCAACAGTGCCCGACTATGATATGCCATTCGAGATGGGCATAACCTAGGATAGAAAGTCAAACTATATGACTAGCCATCGGTCTAGATCTACCGCAATAAGGATAGGGTAGTATTGCTTTCTCTAGGAGAGGCCACTATAGAGCCGCTCGTTGATCAAGGCCGAGAAGAGTGTATAGTAGTCGATCATGGAAAACTACCTAGGTATTTGTGAAAGACAGTGCGTGGAGCGCCCCTGTATGAAGTCGCAGATTAAAGACATTGCTTCACAGCTTCAAGACCGTGGCCAGGAATAGCTTGACCCGTGGACAAGCTTTGCGAGATTTTGATGTATGCGATATCTGTAAATGATTGGTCTGGATCCGTAGCATCTTGGTATACTTGACTTAGTAGTCGCTGGAATCATCAACGTTGTCTTGCTAAACAAAGGGGTTGCTTGCTGTAGATAGCCAGGAAAGACCACACCATGAGTGTAAGCTTAGGAATAGACAGCAACTTTCTAGGTTCAAGGGCAAAACAAAGCTGAAACAGGTAAATGAATGGTATATCCAAGGTTCATCGATGTAACCGTGAATAAGCGACGCCGATGATTGGGTTTATGTCATCGGGCGCCGATGTCGGAGTTGGCGGGGTTGGACCTTGAAATTCACCCGCCTTTATATTCTGAAAGCTCCTGACACGGACAATTGAGTCAATCATTTCTCTTCATATATTGCATAATGTCTTCCTTCAACATCGTCGTCTTCGGTGGTGACCACTGTGGTCCCGAGGTATGTCATTGAGAGCTCTCGTAGGGAAATTGAATACAGGACTGACAATTAGAGAATAGGTGACCGCTGAGGCTGTCAAGGTAACATTGCAAGCTGGGATTGCACGGCATAGACATACTGATTGAATTCCAGATCCTCCGCGTCATTGAGAAGTCCCGTGGTGTTACTTTTAACCTGCAGGATCACCTGCTCGGTGGTGTGAGTATACTCCACCCACGCGACAAAAGCTCAATGGCTAACAATTACAGGCCTCTATCGATGCTACCGGTTCACCCTTGACCGACGAGGCCTTGAACGCCGCCAAGAACGCCGATGCCGTTCTCCTCGGTGCCATTGGAGGTCCCGTACGTCTACATCCCAAACCCCTCCATTCCCTTCCTCCCCGCACAAACACCAAGAACAAGCCTACTGACCCATTGGGATCAACAGAAATGGGGCACTGGCGCCGTGCGCCCAGAACAGGGTATCCTCAAGCTGCGCAAGGAGATGGGCACATTCGGCAACCTGCGGCCCTGCAACTTCGCTGCGCCCTCGCTGGTCGAGAGCTCGCCTCTCAAGGCCGACGTCTGCCGCGGCGTTGACTTCAACATCATTCGTGAGCTTACAGGCGGTATCTACTTCGGTGAGCGCAAGGAGGACGATGGCTCTGGATACGCCATGGACACTGAGCCCTACTCGCGCGAGGAGATCGAGCGCATCATCCGTCTCGCCGCCAACCTCGCTCTGCAGCACAACCCGCCTCTGCCCGTCTGGAGTTTGGACAAGGCCAATGTCCTCGCTACCAGCCGTCTGTGGCGTAAGGTTGTCACCGAGGTTATGGAGAAGGAATACCCCCAGGTCTCCATTGGTCACCACCTCATTGACTCGGCTGCTATGCTCATGATCAAGGACCCCCGTAAGCTGAACGGTATTGTTGTTACTAGCAACCTGTTCGGTGATATTATTAGCGATGAGGCTAGTGTTATCCCCGGATCTCTGGGTCTGCTTCCCAGTGCCAGTTTGAGCGGTATTCCTGATGGCAAGAGCCGTGTCAACGGTATCTACGAGCCTATTCACGGTATGTGTTCTGTCTTCTTTATTGCTTTCTGCCAATCTTGGCTCTGGCCATGGCTAACTGGTACTCACAGGCTCGGCCCCCGATATTGCTGGCAAGGGCATCGTTAACCCCATCGCTACTATCCTGTCTGTTGCCATGATGATGCAGTACTCCTTCAACATGATCGACGTGGCTCGCGTGATTGAGCAGGCTGTGAGCAACGTCATCGAGGCTGGTGTCCGCACCGGCGACATTGGCGGCACAGCCAAGACTACCGAGGTCGGCGATGCCGTCGCCGCCGAGCTGGAGAAGCTGCTTAAGTAGATATAAAGCAGCCCCTTCGATGTTTCTATATGAGATATGACTAGCATAGAAAACTAAAAATATGAATACCCATTTTAAGATGCAATATGTATTTCACTGGCACGAACATGCCTAATGATATTCACTAGCAGACCCAAACCCATGCAAAAAGAAATTGGAACTGGGTATCATGAAGACATTGAAACTCCGATAACAACCTGGAAAACCTCCGTTGGCATTTTGTAAGCCAATCAACGCCAGTATTTTACTTGATCCTTCTAAAAACCCCCTGCTTATCGGATCACCGGCTCACCCATCCATTCCGGCTCGTCTAGACCGGTGGTAGTAAATCCAGCATCAGCATCTTCACTTGCAGTACGTCCACGAAGATCATAAGCCCCACGCAGGGAGGGACGGCGGCGCCGAGCATCAGCAGAAGCCGAGGGCGCAGCGGTCATCCGACGTCGGCTATCATCGCAAGCAAACACTTGGAATCCACGAACATGAGTGTCCTTGCCGTTCTGATGGTTCTCCATAATACGCATCTGGATGACCATAGCCTTGAGCACATTCCCAGAGTAGGGATCATCCTCATCGTCCTGGCTATCAGGCTCATCAATCTCATAAAACGGATCACACTCATCATCATGCTCATGGTCAGGGTTATCACAGTTGCGGTACACAGTTGTCCGCCGACGCATACTAGTAGATCGGCGTTTGGACCTCCCAGTGTCGTTGCGCACCCAGCCTCCGTTTCTACCGCCGACGCCCTCCAATGGCACATCGACCCAACCGCATGGACCGTCACCTTCCCAAGTTGCGAAGTCGATGAGGTCGTTGCCGCCCATCCCGGCTGCGAACACCATCTTCGTGGGTGTGTAGCTTTCGTCGAGCTCGAAATCGAGATATACGCGGATACGCACGACGGCGACCAGCTTGAAGAAGTGGAGGGTTAAGGTGTGCGGTTGTGGTCCATCGGATTGCCAGTATTGTGACGGGGAAGGGTTGCGGAGGGCCGCAACACCGCAGCCCGGCTTGGAGGTGGAGACGGTCCAGGAAGCGAGCGATGAGATGTCGCGCAAGTTGGGTGGTAAAGGGGAGGGTGATTTTTCTATACAAAAATATTAGCTCACAATCTTGAGGCGTAGCCATGAAGAAATTTATGTAGGGATCAGTACCGCGATCGTGCATCTCGTGGTCGGGGTCCTCTTCGTCCTCGAATTGGTCCTCGACTTCTTCTTCCAGTTCCTCGTCGTCAATATCGGAGTCATCAAATTGTCCTTCGATATCCTGACCAGTGGCGAAGGAATCGTCAAAGTCAAGTGGCCCGTCGTTCCCAAGCTCTTGCATGCTGTGGCCACGCGGGTCGAAATCATCATCAAAGTCGTCGTCATCCATCATTTGCGGTGGTGGTTGCTCTACCCTTGGTCTTCCAAATATTGTAAAGGGATTTATTGGTGCTGCTGGATGTCCCGCGACGGCGACTGGGTCGGGTGTGACACCATTTGGACCGGTGGAGGGAGGTTGGTGTCGATGGATTGGGTTGGTGGGAGTGTGACGCGTTGGCGGGGTCTGGAACTGTGCTCGGAGGTCTCCTGGGGCATTGGAGTCTTGATTGGGTACTATGTTGCGCGGATTTGGTTGGCGGCGCAAGTGAGGCATGGTTATTCCATCCCTAGGCAAAGTTAGTAGGAGTTGATGTTTACGCGCAGATCGAGGGGAGCTCCATTTCCTTTTGCGGTTAGCGCGGTTTGGAAGCTACGAGGACGTTTTGGCAAGTAACAGCGCCTACTTAATTCTTTTGGAACGTTTGAATATATTGCAAAGAATGAATCCATATTCATGCTATAGCCAGTCATTAGAATCATGACATTCCTTGTGTTGTTTAATGCTTTTATTTACAGTTTGCAGCGCAATCAGTGCCATGCATTTGCACCATGGGCATACATATGTAGTGCTATATTATGTACCTAGATACCTGCCCAGGCCATCAACCGATTAGGGCCACCATAGCAATTGCTTGCAGCCATTCTCCAATATACATATTTCTAGTGACACCTTTCAGGTCGTAAGAATCTTCTATAGATTCCTCACATATCAGCGGGCATAAACTAGTTGGTTTGCGAGTGTAATATGCGGACTACCTAGATAGAAATTTCCTTAGCTGACAGCCTCTCATGGCTAATGCTTATGTCCACTTGCTTGGGGTTTCTCTGACATGCTATCAAGGCCATTTAAATTAGAAGATCAGTCCAGAAAATTTAGACTTGATGTATTTTGCTTCCATTATTTTCACCCTCCCAGTTAGGAGACATGTAAGAAAATAAATGTCTCGAAAATGCACCAACTTTGTCCCTAATTATTCGTTCCATCTATACATGCATAATTCAACCATAGCCTTCCAAGGCGGCATGGATATTCCCTTCAGGCAATGATCCTCTCAGATCCGTGATATACAGCTAGTTTTAGCTAGTACCTTAGTACGATATTAGGCTGCGTTATCCACTTGACAGCCAACTATAGATCTTGATACGACAAGGACTATAAACCGAATAGCCTTTCGACGGCAATACCTTATTGCACAAAGTGGTTTCCATTGTAGGTCGCATTATTCACAGGTGCCAAGTTCCAGTCCAACGCGCTCATCATATCGGTATACAGCATTTCATAGCAAAGCAGCATATCTAGCAGCAGCACTCACAACACTCGAAGCAAGCGATACCAGCGCAGCTGTTGTAAATATGTTAGCTAATCTCCTTTATTATGCTTGGTTGAGTAAGACAACGAAGTAACGTGGGAAGGCTCACATTCCACAGCAGACATCACCACCACCGCCACCGCGGAGTTCCATCTTCATGGACTCGGGGCTCTATGGGCCAATTAGTTGTAATCTCAGCAAATAATAATCGAAGAGCATACAGGCTGCTGGGAGACGACGTTGTTGGAAGACATGGCCTCAGCGTTAGAGGGCTGTTCCATGGCTATAGTGGTCGCATTCCAGGTAGGCTCCTGGGTGGGTTTGGAGTCGTTGGAAGACTTGAACCAGCCGAACATTTTGACGGATAATTTGTATTCTTGGGAAAAAGAGGGAGGTTGACGAAGAAGAGATGTAGGAAGAGGGGAAAGGTGTGAAAGAGAAAGGGGAAGACAAATAAGCCGGGGTCGTGGGTTTCTATTATTGAAACGAAAGGTACTTGTACTCCGTACAATATACTAGTAGTTTTAAAACTCTTTTTTTTTCAGTCCAGACCACACTAGGCAGTCCACCAGCCAGCACGCAGGCAGCCATATTATAGACCTGTGGGGCAGAGGTTGGCAGAGGTATTGCCGGCTTATGCGTTGGCTCCAATAAACAAGAGAGGCTATGGTTAGTAGAGCTGAATAAAAAGCCTTACCTCGGTATTTGCTGTGGTTTTTAATTAAACATATACATACCTAGGTACATAGGCATAAAAGCCATGTGGGAAACGTGAAATCGAACCTTGGAACATTGAAGGGACCTCGGGAGCCCTGGAGACACCAAGCTTTTAGTCAAGCTTTGCAGGATCTTGGCATTCCACTTTCAGCCCTATTGTTTTTATGACATGTTCGCCTCGATAATAAGATAATGTCTTCATTTTCAACCTACGTATCTACCGAAATGGAATTACAGAATATGAGGACCTGTGGGATTGGCGAAAATGACCGCCTTTGAGGCCAGAAACGGCTGCCTTTCCACCCGTAACTTCCGGCCGCCCCTTAACCGCCCACTACCCTGTAACATCTTTCCCGTCAGTCAGCAGTGAGACCCGGAACTCCTCCGACGGTCCATGATCCTCATCGTTCCCAATTGGACTTATTTGTCCGCCCAAAACCTGATCAATTGCAAAAGTTCCCTGATTTGCGCGCCAAAAAATCGAGCCTCTGGACTCATACTCTAGATGAAGGAAAGGCTATCGCGAGGTGTCTGAACGTGTCTCTACTCGGCGACATCATCGGCCGCTCTTCAACACCCCTTGACCGCGCATTGTTCAGACGAGAGATTCGGCGAATGGCCATGCATGGGGTTATTCCGAGCCGGGTCGGTTTCATTCGGGAGGCAAATCCTGGCCAACTCGGACCCCATGGGAATGAAATGTTCTGCTTTAGGTACGTCACGTAAGGCCTGACAGTAGAAATGGCCAAATATGGCCCAGCGAGTCTATCTCGAAGGCTAAATCAACTTGTGGTATGAGGCTGGCATCTCGATTCATTGTGACTGAGCACTGTCTTTCACCTGGGCACAAATACCTTGGTAGCTTTCCATGATCGACTACTATACACTCTTCTCGGCCTGGATCAACGAGCCGCTCTGTGGTGGCCTCTCCCAACGAAAGCAATACTACCCCATCTTCATTGCGGTAGATCTAGACCGATGGCCAGTCATCCAGTTTGCCTTTCCATCCCAGGTTGTGCCCATCTCGAATGGTATATCATAGTCGGGCACTGTTGGTAGATCCGGCCATGTAAATCGGTGCGGCGCATTGAGGTAACGTTCCATATCCCGGTCAGATCTTCGCGTTGCTACACATTCGCTCAAAAAGTTGCGAAATTTTAATAACTTAGAGACTAGTTCGCGATTAACAATCCATTCCGAGATACTTTATACCATGTCTATATATCGATCCGAGGTAGGGATACCCGAAAAGGATGTATCGTTCGTGATAAGCTTGTAGAGTGTGAAGACGACACTAGTAACGTCGTCTCGACCTTTATATAGCCGTCTCTTCCCGGATATAGCCCGATTAAAGTCGAAAAGAGCGATCTTTTGTATAGAAGGATCGATTAATAGATTTCGGGATGCGATATCTTAGTGTATGATCCCTAGTTCTAAGTTGAGAAAATCCACGACTTGAGTAAGCTATTATAGCCACTCGAATCGGAAAGGGATTTTTGGATTGGCGAGAGTTCTACCTGGGATATACTTCGTTATAAACCTAATCACCTAAGACTCCTAGTCTTTAAGGACAATGCGATCAAATGGTATTATATTAGGATGTGGCGGTAGACTTTTAAGAAGGTTGAGTTCATCCTAGGCCATTTATAGTCTTCGGGGCTTGTTCAAGACGTTGAACTTGAAAATAACCTTCTAGGGAACGCCTGATTCGTTTTCGTACGATACAAGATTAATGAACGGTCTAAGCTAGTCGAGCTCTTCGAGCTTAGAGTACTGAATTGTACGGCAATCGGCTAGCGATCTACAAAGTGAAAAAGGAACTTATGTAAGAAATAGAGTATCGTCCTCTTCTAGATCTGTCGAAACCCCGATAAGGAGTCCGTCGTTGTCGACTGTGATAGCACGTACTTCTGGCGATAGATAATCGGCCAATCGCGCTAGAATTGGGAGCTCTCTATTCTCTTCGGGCGGAAACAGTTTGGCGGTGCCTTTGACCTTGACCATCCGAAGTTGATCCCAGTCCCAGACGTTGCAATATGTTTCAGTGGAGGGATTTTCGCTCGGGCCGCGGTAGTTCTGGCCTTCGGACCAGAATCTGTCTTAAGGGTTGATCATGGCAAGATGAAGGCTCAAAACGACTGATCTAAATAAAGTCCTTTTAAACGTGGGCGAGCGACTGATTTCGAAGTAATGATGATTTTCGTTTTTCCTAAGTAGAGACATGGGCCAGGCCACATGAACCCTGCTTCATCCATACCCACTTTGAAGCGTCTCGAAAGTATCACCCATCCAATAGTAGTTCGCCAATCCTCCGATGCGCTTTGAAGCCCCAGAACTAGATAAACCAAGCGCTTAAATCGTAGCACGTATTGGTCAAATCCTCACATTTGACTGCGTACTCCCGCGCGGGGGGGTGATACATAATGCCAGTGTCTTTTATTTTACGCCTCGCTTTCCCTAGTTTGTTGAATGAGTTTAGGTCTCTATAGTGTGCTTAGCTTGGAGGCAACTTACTGAGGATTTGGTTAGCAATCCGATATAATTGCGGCCTTTTCAGTCGCAATGGCAACACACGCTACAAAATTACTGGCTCTCACTAAGGCCGAAAAGAGAATGGCTGACACAGCTGGAGTCGAGCCAAACAGAGCCGCAGCCAAAGTGAGTGATGCCAACCAACGTAGCCTCTAACTTAGACTGTGGGCCAAGGTCACTCCTGGAAAAGAGCCAGATCATTCCTGGAAAAGAGGTACTTAGTAGCGGAGCCTTATATGGTCTAATAGGGCGCCATGTACGGAGTAGGGCTGTGGAACAAACCGATGTCGCATAGTGGGTCAGGTGAAATCGCTCGTGATACACGAAGTACCAGTGGACTGTGTCCAGCTGAGTTTTCGGCCCGGTCGGAGCGAACATACCCGTATATCTGTTCGGCTCCAGAGTACTTGAATATGTGGACCACGCGTATGTTGCCTCATATCTATGTGTACATACCTATTCTCTATCTCGTTCCCTCATCTGAGTCCGGTGCCAACATCGTTCCAGATACTGTTGACTCATTTCATTGGCCCCCATCATCCCCTATGCACTAAGGAGTACCGTACCATAACAGGGAATGACAAAATTACAGCACAGGGCCAATACTGTGTGGTGGCGTGCAGTAGTGCAGCCTGATGGGGTTACTGAGAAAAACGGAAATGTCCGAAAGGATTCCGTTGCTCCACTTAGGGCGGCTACATACCATTTCCCAATGGTTATAGCAAATCCCCTCTCCGACTGTAGCGCCCACGAATCCGCTTTGGACACCCACCCACTAAATCGGGACTATAGTACGCCAGGGACTGGGCAAACTTCTTGGTCAACTGCCTCTTCTTTACGAGGTGGTACCCATGTTCGAGATAGCAACCCGCAGAGGCTCGTGCATAACCGCGGGCTCTTTTTGGCCTCCAATCTCCCCTAGTCTTGCCTTTCAACCCAGTTCACTCCTTCCCGCCCTCTCAATATCACAGTCACACGAAAATATGACAGGCATGCCATTTAAAATCTTCTTCTTAACATTTCTTCTCAATTATGTGTACTGCCTCGAGGTCGCCCCGGACTCTGGCTGTTCTGATCTATGCGTCGACATAATTGGTCCTGCGACAAACATTTCCAGTCCGTTCGCTTCCGGCACATTCCCAACAGACCTAGTATGCGAAGATTCTCAGATAAATGGCACTGACGTTGCGGCCGTGGGGCGTAAATGGCAGCAATGCGTGTCATGTGAGGCGAGCAGCGATACCTCCTCATCTGGAATAAACAACGACAACGAGACGGATGTCTTCTGGTTTATCTGTGAGGAATATTGGTGCCGAATAATCAGGCAAATTGCTAATTGCAAGGATGCGTAGTTAATGTTCGCTATAATTTTGACTGGTGTGTGTTCGGATATCCCAGCAACAATGAGACAACGACAGCCGCGAAGGCCTGTGGGCAAATATGCGACGCGATTCTCGACCCTATGACCAACAAACTCTTTACCGAGTCGCAGAGCAATCGTTACGAATACTGCACGCGTAATGACGGCGCGTTCACGGACCACGCGACGAGTTGCCAACAGTGTCTCGAGAAAGTGGAAGGTGCCTCAATTCTAGCGAATTGTAAGATCCCGTCTTACTTCTGGTCAAACGTTCCTCTAACTACCATCTTTACCCAGACATCAAGGCCCTTCAGATTGTCTGTGAACAGCGACCGGCAATGGGTAAACCGCTGGAACTTGGGTTCAACATTTTTGCGACTAGCTCCTCCACGTCCGTAACGACTAGTGCGACCATCAGTACAGCTAGTGCTGCGAAGACAGATTCCAACCAGTACGAAAGTAACAGTCGCGTCAAAATTGGAGTCGGTGTCGGAGTTGGAGTCGGAGGTGCCATCTTGCTGACGGCCGTGGGGCTCTTTCTCTGGAGACGTCGAAAAGTCACTAGCAATATTAATTCTGGTCAACGGATCAAATCTTACATCATACCCGAACAACGTCAATGCGAAGAGCTGGAGGTACCCGAGCGCAAGGGATTTGTGGTCGAGCTCGGGCCTGGAGGAAAACATCATGATTCACACGAGTTGGAAGCGCGGTGATAGATACTCATTTTGCGATTTTACTCCCAGACCTTCTATCATGCACTTGAAATCTCATCGCCAAATTAAAACACTCCCTCGAGGTATGTTAGTTTTTGATGGATCAATTTGGCTACTATGCCATTCTCAACTGGTTCCAATGTGTTCTCTATTTGCGCGAATGGTGATGCGAAGTGTATTGTGAATGATTTTTACCGCTATTTCTGGCAGCAAGCTGTTAAGGCTGAGCTGCGACACTGGTGGAATGCGGACTGAGAAGAGAAAGACCTGGGTGTCACTTGTTGAACGTTGATACCCGAAAGTAGATGATACGAACTGATATGAACTAACACTGCAACTCCAGCAAGTGGAAGAATAAATAGTGAAAATGAGTGTGTCTTTTAGGAGAGCAGCTAGGTGCTCGACTATTTAACATGTTAGGGCGCAGTGCTAAGCTCAACAAGTGACTTCCTGAGGCCAACAAGTGATACCTAAGGTGGCTACTGTCTGCATAGCGTAAATACATGAATGAATGGACGGGAAAAGACGGGTGTAATTCCGGCTGACATTATATAATGCGCTCTTAATTTATTCCAAATCTGTAACTATTCGCTTGGATTAATTTCATATGCCAAAAGATTCAGGGCCAATCCCAAAGTCCATCATTGCAACGAAAGGCCTGCCGAGACAGTGCAAGGTTATAGGCGCTTTATGACGTGTGAAGGGACAGCCAGATCTTACAAAGCCTCGGCAGTCGAGGTCCCCATGCGTCCCTCCTCAGCAATTTTCTCCTTGTTCATGGTGCCAACGGTGTCAGAGCGGGTATCGCTGGGGGGAGTGGAGCGTTTCTCCACAATGTTGGTCTCGTCCGAATTCGTCTTGTCGGCAGCATCTAAGAATCGTCAGCGTGTATTCGTCACGAAAAGAATCAGTCACGTTCAAATGACCACAAGACTTACCAGGTTGGGGATCCTTAGGCGGGGGGCAGTAAAAGCCAACAGCGAGGCAGATAATCATAAGAACAATCTCCTCGAGGACGCCCATGCAGAGATTGACGGTGGGGTTGGGCTCAAACAGGTTAAACCGCGCGATGGTCGTGTAGTCACCCAAGCAGCCGTAGACGGTGCGCACGATGAGCAGTGGCGCACAGGCGTAGACTGAGTACAGGATGATCTTCTCGTTGCGAGGTATCTCGTTGCGGTAGATGGTCAGGTACCCCAGAATGGCCAGCAGGAGACCCAAGCAGCCGACGAACATGCCCAATGCGGCTTGCAGCATGGGGGGGATGGTGTAGCTGTCGAGGGCCTTGATAGCGCCGGCGATACCAAGGGCCAGCCCGACCAAGCTGACGATGCTGACAAAGATGAAGATCCATTTGGAGAGCTTGTTGATCGAGGCGTTTCTGAACAAGACATGCCTATGTCAGTCTCGAGTCACGCGTAGGTGGATATCAGATTGCGACTGACACTCTTTGTAGCAAACCCACGGCAGCCAGTGTTAGGGGAGCGATGCCCAACAAGTCGCATGTGATTTTTGTGGTGACAACATTGATCGAGTCGTGAGTGATGGTGATGAGCTGGCATATAGCACCAGCAATTCGGAGACAGGCGAGGATAATGAGGAATCTCCAACATGATGCCACAGCCTTCATTCCTTGCTGGTAACACAAAAGAATGGAGAGGAAGAGGCAGGGCACGAAGACGATAAGCTGCAACAACGCGATACCATCTTCATAGCTAAACGTCATCTTAGATAGAGAGGGGCCGGAGCGGCGAATATAGCGGGCAGGTGTCTTGCTGATGGCGGATTGATGGGCAATCTAGATTATAAGGTCAGGGCAGGGAGGGATTGAAGGCCCTGGATAACCGCTATGATCTGATGAAACAAGTATGAAGGATAGGGCGAGAGTTGGGAGTTCATTCGAACACCAGCTCTTACCCTGGGGGAGAAAACGATACGAGGGTAACAAATGGAACAAACGTCTAGGGGTAAAATAAGAGAGCGGCCTCCCGTGGTAGAGCAGGTGTACGATGAAAGATTGCAATAGATTCGGGCTGTGCTTGAACACATAGAGAACGAGGGATTCAATAACAACTTGAGGGTTTCGCGCATGTCCATATAGAACTAACATCAAGCATGCCTAATTAGGAATAGGTGATGATGTGGGTACCTGTGGCTGCGGCTCTGCTAGTCTACTACTTGATTAGGTCCTTTTGCCGGACTCCGAGCTATCCATTTTGGGTACAATTTCCCAAGAGTTGCCCAGCCTCCATTAGTGAGATTGATCGACGCCCATCCTACTAGAAACACGTGCAATGTCCGTCTCCTTCCTTGAACAGCCTACTTTACACGTAGTTTCTGTAACAACCCTATTATTTTACTAGTGTCGACTGCCTGGCATTCCTTCTATATAAAAGACAACAAGACGGGATGTCTGCTTTATAGAGATGAACATGTTTTGAAGATCCATGATCTCGGCCTTTCATCGCCCTGGCCTTCTCATTCTTTTCACATTACTTTTGTTTTCCTTTCACCACCAAAAAAAAAAAACAAAACCAAAGACCAATCTATCACAATGGCGGAGTCCGAGCAACGTCAGCTGGCGTATTGGCAGGAGCAGCTCGAGGGAAGCCAGCCCGCCGAGCTGCTCTGCGACAAGCCCCGGTCGGGCATCTCCTCTGGGAAGGCGCAGGTCCACCACTTCAACCTCGATGACCAGCTTTACCAGGACCTCCAGGCCTTCTGCCAAACACACCAGGCCACTCCCTTTGTGGTGCTCCTCGCCGCTTTCAGGGCGACGCACTACCGCGTACACCCATATTTCTTTAGTGTCACGTCTTGTCCTTCTTGTACTCGTGCAGGGATGCTACCTAACCAAAAGTTCCCCCCAATAAGCGAGACTACGACTTGCGAGACTTGGAGATTTGCACAAACACTTGAAAAACTCTTCCACATGAGGTGTTTTGGTTTAACTTTTGATTTGTGAAAGAATATATACTTGCGTAACCCTGTATGTACGGTGTATGCTCTCTATATGCAGTTCATCGCTGTATGAGATATCCACATTTGAATGATGCTTCTATACTATCCACTCAATGGTGGACGGAGGTTGCTTGATTCAACAAAGTTGGCGAAATCATCTGCCTGCGCAAGACCTGCTTGGCAACTGATTCTGCGCAACTGGGCGACAGTCCACGTACGGGTCTCGTGGCCGAGGTTGTGCATGCAGCCCACAGTGAGGAGAACCCAGCAGGCAAAGTAGCCGCCGACCGCCGAGCCGGCGTTGTTCTTGGAGCGCTCGTGCTGCTGCGCCTGCTTCTGCTGCTGCTGCTGCTGCAGCTCCTGCGCCGGGGAAGTGGCGTAGCCCATGAGCTGGGGCACGGAGGCGAGAATCTCGTCGCGCAGGCGGACGATGGTCTGGGTGGCCTGGTGCAGACGGTCGGCGTAGTTGTTGGCGAAGAACCAGTTGCTGTCGGTGTTAGCGCCGCGGAGGAGGAGGTGGCTGATGGCGTGGTTGGCGAGGATGCGGCAGACGCGCATGCTGTTCCAGACGGAGGCGATCCAGACATCGTGGTAGATGTGGTTGACGTCGCGCCAGCTACGAGTCGGATCGTAGCTGTTGCTGGACGAGTTGGATTTGGCGGTGAACTGCCACTCGGAAGGGCACTTGGAGAAGGTGCTCTCGAGGCGGTAGTCAATCTCGAACGCCTGTGAGAGGTAGCGCTCGAGGTGCTCAATGGAGATGTCGGCACCCTTGAGAGGACCGGAGAGCATGGAGGTAGAGGCGGGGGAAGAACCGGATGCAGTAGAGGGGGGGGTTGGAGGAATCGGAAGGGGCAGCGAGACCGGAGGAGGAGGCGCCGAAAGAGTTGGGAAAGAACGAGTAGCCGCCCGGGGAAATGTGCTGGTAGAGATCCAGAAGCTCGATCATGCCGCTGCAGGCGACCCAGTAGGGATCCGAGACGCCGATGGCGTTGGCAGCCTCGATGCGCAGCATGCGTAGGCTCGAGGGCATAGGCGAGCCGGAGCGTAGGCAGTTAATGAGGAGCTGGGAGAAGACATCCTTGAAGATCTGCAGGCCGGTCGAGGTGGAGAACTGGGAGCGGCCGCGCAGGTTGAGGAGCGAAGTGGCACCCTCAGTGTGGTGCTTCCAACCGTCGATAGAGGCCTTGCTGAACTCGTAGAGGGCGAGGACGAGGACAGAGACGATGGTGCTGTCGCGACGGGCGGCCTGGGGGTCGGCGACGGCGAGATTAACACGCTCCATGGTGCGGGTGTACATCATCATGGACCGGGTCAACAGGTCGACCTGGCTAGTGGTGCGAGCGAGCCCACTGAAACCGACAGCCAGAATGGCACCCTCGAGCATGTCATTGCCGCCGTCGTCTTGCGCCAGCATGCCCGGAACGTAGTCGAAGAAGCCGGAGGAGGGACCGGACTGCCGGACGACGTAGTGAGAGAGGAAGAAATCGAGACCGATGATGTCGAGAGGCAAGGAGAAGGGACGCGCTATGACCTCGGGCTGACTGCTGGTGAAGTTGTTGTGTTCTAGCCGTTGGCGGTCGCCCCGGTTGCTGCCGTCAACAGGGAACTGATCGAGAGCCACATCGTCGCCGCCTATGCTAGAAGCGCCGACACGGGAGCGACGCCCAGACACGGAGGCAGGAACAGAAGCAGCGGATCCAGGACCGTCGCCCGATACCGGCATGGCGCTGGGCGAGGCTCCGTGATGGAGGGAGAAGAGCCCAGTCTCATCCGGGTTGCAGGGGTCGTGGAAGCTCATCAACTCGGGCATGAAGCTGCCGCCGGCGAACATCCCGGCTCCGACATCGACGTCGCTCATGTCCAGCATGGTCTCGTCGACGACATCGGAGGGGCGGCTGGCGTGATAGTCCGGTGCGGAGGTGTATTGTTGTTGGTTCTGTGCCTGTCGTGGGGCTGTGCGCTCCACCGAGAGGCGGTCGGTTGGGGTGGCCGTCAAAGCCCTCTTGGAGACTTTTGAGCGGGCGCGGTTGATGACCTGGGTGCTCTCATCGCGAAAGATGAGGCTTGAGGGATCTCTGTACCCGTGGCATTTCTCACCCGTGCGACAACATTGGCCGCATTCTGGGACTGCTTTGTCGCACTTTTTTTTCAGGTTAAATGTAAGCCAAAGTGCAGGTGTGTCTTTTTTACTTCTTTTTCCCTGATGATTTTCTGTCTTTTGTAAAGGGGCGCAAACAGTAATGGCTTACTCTTCTCTTCTTGGCGCGACAATTGTTGCAACTTGTTGAAGGACGACCGCAGTAGACCATGATGGGGACTCTACCAAGTGGTGATGATGATCGTGGATGGATAGGCGGGGAAATGTGTCAGGCACCAAACCCACCTGGGCAACGCACCGACTTAGTATATTCAAATAAGAGAGTGGGGACTGTCCCGTTCCGCGTGGAGACACACGGTAAGGCTGAATGAGGTGAATGCCAAGTTCGGACTACGATACGGTAAAAAAGGACAAGAGAAAGCAAGACGACAACACGATTTGAAGTGGGCGAAAACGTTTGTGCCTAAATACACTGCTTATCAGCGCCCTGCGGCTAAGCCGGAAGGACAGCTATCGTGATACAAGTTGGTATGATTTGTAAAGATGATCCATTGTTATCTCTCCGTATAGATCTGTTGCTAGCTAGCTAAGAGGGTCTTGTCATGTGGAGTCCAAGCCACGTGGTGGCAACAGTTGCCCTCGAAAAAGTCTCGTCCCGAGACTATACAAATGCAATGGGAAAATATATTGGTTCTCTAGCTTGGAGACCTTCTAGTCGTTCGTTATATAATTCTCGGCTAGCTTAGTCTCCAAAACCAAATCACCTTGACTTCGCAATTTCGTCAACCAATTCATGCAAACATTCCGGCGCATCGTACTTGTCCATGTACAACTCAACGATACGCAAGGGAGGAGGATTGTTCTCATCATAATGACTAGCGGGGCCAAACGATGGGTCGTCGAGCAGCATATTCAGTTCAGCCCTAGTCCGAACAGCATAAGTGCGAGCAGTATTCGGAGCAGCCTGGAAAACGGCCGGCAAAAGCTTATAGTCCCAAGGTTGGATATCGTTATACTCCTCATCCATGCCATTAATCAACCGTTCTATCGTGTAGCCCTCGTTGCAGACAACGAACATGATAACGCCTAAGTTGCGGCGGACCATGGTGCTCACTTCTTGTGCGGTCATTTGGAGGCTACCGTCGCCCGTCAAGAGGATGGTACGTCGGTGCCGAGTGCCTTGAGATTCTTTCTCGTCTTCGCGTGCGGCAATGGCGGCTCCCACTGCTGCGCCGATGGCATATCCAATCGAAGACCAAAGGAACTGCACTAGTGGAACTGCTCCGCGCGGGTATCGAGTCCATACTGAGCCAAAGGCAGCGGTTCCGATGTCTGCGGATACGATGTCGTCTTCTTGGAGCCAAGAAGCCATTCGCGGCCAGATCCAGTCTTGGGTTAATGGTTGAGACTTGTCGACAACGTTACCCTCGAAATCCATAAACTCTTCGCCGTTCGCACTCTCTTTGGGTGGGCTAGACAAGGGTGAGGCGGTTCCGTGTATATCGGGTGTGCCGCTAAGATTGCGGGGAGGTGTGGAGGTCGTGGAGGCCGTGGATACTGACCTTGATTGTCCTTGATCAAGAATATTGCTGAGTCTTTCGAGCACACCATTCATACCGACCCCCAGAATCCCTTGGAATTGCATTTGGATTCTGTGGCGTTCGAATTTGATGGTCTCGATATGGGGCATCTCGGTCTGGAAACCGGCTGTGGTGAAATCGGTTGGACGCGGTCCGATCTCTAGGATTAGATCGGAGGATTGGATCTGTTCAAAAACGGTAGGTTCTGAAGGTTTTCCTGAGTACAAACCGCGAAAGTTTATCAAGGTCTCGTCGATGATGCCCTTGGCCAATGGCGTAATAAAGCAAGGAATTCCCGAGCTTTGCACGAATAGCCTCGTTGTATTCAGGCTGTGTGGCTTTCCGGCCAGACCGTCAAGAATGACAACCGGATTCTGAGCTGCCCGAATACGGCCGAGAATCAGGTCCACGGCATAGTCCTCAACTCCCATCGGATCGGGGCTGGGTTGTTCGAGACTCAGAGGACATTCAAGCGGAGACGGATCTACCTCTGCCTTGACAAGATTCACTGGGAAGCCAATGTAGACAGGCTTGCTAGACCGGCAGCACTCGAGGATTGTCTCGTCGATGAGTCTAGTCGCATCTGACTGTTCTTTCAGAACGACTACCGCGCTCGATATTTCGGCACTCATTTTGGCAAATCGCCCAAATTCGCCATCCCCCAGGGTGTGGTGCATCGGGAGTCGCTTTTCCTGGATAGCTGTTGAGGGATATCCGACAATGTGGATGACCGGTATAAGCTCGGCGCATGATCCCGCTAGGGCATTGATGGCTGACAGCTCCCCAACACCTAGTGTGGTCATGACTGCGCCTATTCCTTTGATGCGGGCATAGCCATCGGCAGCATAGCCTATATGTATACAACAATGAGACTCGTACCTTTTGGTCAAAGTAGAAAGTATGTCTATCTACTTACCGCCGTTGAGTTCATTCACATTTCCGACCCAGCTGAGGCCACACGGAGCAATGTAGTCAAGGGAGGCTAGATTATAATCGCCGGGGACGCCAAAGATGGATCGAATTCCAAGCTCGTGAATTCGGCGAAAGAGATACTACAGTAGAAGTAAATATATTAGCCATGTAGCAATGAACAGGGTTGACATATCACTTTTATACCTCAGCAAGATGCATAGTGGGGTGGAAATGTCCCGAAGACTGTTCAAACTCAACTTTGATGCTTGTTTAGAATTTCAAACTTTGTTGGTGTAGAATATTTTCCAGTACTGTTCAGTCCGAGGCTTTTATATCAAATTCCCATCAGCCACACCTGCCACACCCAAGACACATTGCGCCATCATGAATCTGCTTTGGATTGATCTCCCAACAATTTGATGTGGCGTCTTTGCTTCTCAGGCGCTAATACACCCGTTCACGGTAATTGACCATGCTCAATGGGGCTGTGAGGTGTACAGCACACCCGAAGCGTGCTAATCGATTACCCGATAGAGAGTCATACGCAAGATCGGCATAACTGTGGTACCCTATCGAACCAATATCAAAATCAAATGTTTCCTTATTATCGTATCACAGATCTCAATGTAGGTACGTTTCAAGAACTCATAGTTCGCCATGCTTACTATCTTTCCCGTTGGGATTCGTGCGCGCATGTTCTGGCAGCATGGTGTGACCACGAGTAACCCCATCAATGACCGTATTCAGCATATTGCACAATCTCCTGAGGATCTTCTGAATGGGTGACAAATAGTAGGATTGAGGATATGTTTCAGGGTACGCATTCGAAGATTCTAGGTCGCCACCTTAAGCCCTGAGACTAGAAGTAATATTTATAACCTGACTTATGTGTCCTGCTGGGCGACAGTTATCAGTCGATGAATCGAAGATTATGTATGATAAAAAACTACAGTCTTGGCATGCCTACTTTAACTTTGGTTGCTTTATTTGTATTATACACTTGTTCTTCACTCCTTTTGGCGATGCTACTAGCAAACTGCGAACTTTAGCTGATCCTGCCGGTGCCATTTGGAAATTTCTTGGCACCTGTTACATGTTGTTATATCTCTTCGAGTATTGGACTCTTTTTTAAATAATAGCTAGCAGAGACTTTCTATTCAACACCGGCAGGAATGGTTTTGTTCCCTGAGAATGAAGGTCATCCGGAAGTATCTTCTTCCTCAACCTTCTTGATCTTTTAGAGAATTGTAACAGATGATTGAAGTCTCACCCTAGACTTTAGTCACTCGTAAGATACGATCGATGAGCTTAACAGATCTCCTGTATATCATCTCGGTTGGCTTGTTCCGAGCCTTTCATTGCAGTAGTGACATCTCCTACTATTAGCCTCCACTATAAGCATAGACGAGGTTGAGCATCTGAGAGATCCAGAGTTGAAACACAACTCCTGATAGCTCTAGGCAGCTGTGGAAAACTCTAGTTTTGATCTTCAAGGTCGATCCCGGTGATACTGCCCGATCTTCGCTCTTGATGATCATTTTGGAATCAACCTAGGCCCGGGCCGCGGAGATAGCCTCCGACGCAGGAAACAATAGATGTCAGTTCTCGGCAAGATTGTCTCCTACGGACGTATCATCCTTTACACTAGGTTCCGAATCACCAACATATCCATCGGTCTCATGTCGCATGAGGAAAATCAAACCACTTGTCTAGTACAGAGGATGACCAGTGATGATGGTGCGGTCACCGTATCAGGGAACAAGTGGGGGATCATATTGGTAGATAATTTCTGCTTGTTCACAGGATACCTGGCATGCGGGTGGTGTGTTGCAAAGGATGGGAATTGTTTTATTGCCCGCTGTCGCTAAGTGCGGCGTTAGGAAAAGACCTCGGGATTGTCATGTCTGTGTTTGTGTAACCGCTTATGGTCAGGGAGTTATCAGACACATACATACACTAACAATTCGGAACAGCTCAAGGATAAACTCCCTAGAGTGAATCTGATATAGTAGACTTTAAAGATCCCGCATCTCCCCACTTTCTTATTTCCATCATTTCCATATATAGACTGTTAGATCAGCTCTTTGGGTCTCTTTAATTCTCTTTGATGATCACGGGATATCAATTGAAAGACCCAGGTCACGTATGTACAACATGATGCTTGGCCTTGGATCGTCTCGGGCAACACTGCACCGACAGTGGGTCAACGGGGACACCACATTGGATACTTTATAATGAGGGGTTCTCCCATCATTCTTCCAAACCTCAACCACTACAAAACGCATAAAAGATGTCTATGAGCATTGAAGACTGCGCTCAGAGCCGGGAGGGCTTCCTCGTCCATTCCCGGATACGCCTTCAAATGTGTTAGAGCAGTTCAAAATGAACGGAAAGGTGGTTGTTGTTACTGGGGCTGCAGATGGACTTGGTCATGCGATAGCACAGTCTATGGCTGAAGCTGGCGCTCATGTTGCCCTGTGGTATAATTCGTAAGTTTCCCTTCTATTCATTGTATGTCTCCGGTGTAATTCTGTTAACCATATTAACAGAAATGACGCCGCTATCGAGAAAGCTCAGGTCCTAGCAAAGGAGCATGGTGTAAAGGCTTTTGCTTACAAGGTCGATGGTAAGCGGGCACTTGGAGGTTCATTCTCATAAGTGCGACAAAATGCTAAGCTGTCACCTGCAGTTTCGGAGTCCACTCAAGTATCCGAGACAATTACAAAGGTCGTGGCCGACTTTGGCAAGATTGATGTGTTCGTTGCCAATGCAGGTTAGTTTCCCACAGCAACTTTGGTGTATGGCAGCTGATTTAGAGAAGGCATGGCGATCTCGAAGCCTATCTTGGAACAGTCTCTGGAAGAGTACCGGAAGCAGATGTCTGTGAATGGTATGGATCCGTTCCTTCCACAAGATAATATATCGTGGTATTGACCTGAACTAGTTGACGGCATTGTGTATTGTGCTAAATATGCTGGTGAGGTATTCGCACGGCAAGGCTATGGCAATCTCATCATTACCTCGAGTATGAGCGCACACATCGTCAATGTTCCTACTGACCAGCCTGTCTACAATGCGACCAAAGCGTACGTCACCCACTTTGGAAAATCACTTGCCCGTGAGTGGCGGGATTTCGCCCGGGTCAACATCGTTTCGCCAGGTTTCTTCGATACAAAGATGGGAGCCGGCCCGTCCGCCCTCCAGGAGGCATACCGTATGTCGTCACTAGGAAGGCAAGGCCATGTGAAGGAAATCAAGGGATTGTACCTATACCTTGCCAGTGATGCATCTACCTTTATGACCGGAAGTGATGTACTTATTGACGGGGGATATGTCTTGCCGTGAAAGTTGGAACATGTTGAATGATAAGATTTAGAAGCTTAAATCAAACAACCTTGGAAGTTTGTAATGAGAATTACCAAATGACCAGTTGGAATATGCAAATAAGATAACGGTTTTCGATAATAAAAGAGTGGGCAATGAATATTTCGCTGAAGGCGATTTCAAATGTCGGGGTAAGACCTCGAATAAGACAGTTCGTGCCCGAAGGCGTTCTGCCCCGCTCTATGCCAAACCCCGGAGGTCTGTTTTCAGGTACAGTTTCGATACCTTCATTCGTTCGCCACTGTAGCGATATACTAAGCACATGCACAGCCAAAAGCAAAGTATATTGACCAATGGAACCTTATCTCATCCCGGGTTAGAGGAACGTGCTCTATCTAGGTTAAGCTGATTCCCCAACTTGGAAACAAGGCCCCAAACTTTGTCGGGGCCCGATGTGACCATTTTTCCGAGCCAACAATCGGCCATGCTCGGGAGAACAGTGGAGTAGAATGAGTCAACGACTCGCAATGGGGTGCAGGGTCATGACCGAGCGTACCGGATTAATACGATGATTTCAAAAGGGCTTGTTTTCCGAGTCTCACAACTGGGGTTGTCAGACCCGGGCAACATCTTGGCATGGCCATTTCGAATGGGAGACAAATGACATGCAAAAACCGGCTAATCAATGACTGGGATGCAGGCTGTCGTCAGCTACACAGATCATATTAAATGATATACTCCGTAAGCCACTTTCTTTAATCGAAACACGGCAGACAAGCGGACAACACGGAGAAAACCTGCTTTGACCTGATTGGCGTCATGTGATTGGCTGGTGTAGCGGGCCGGTTGGAGATTCAATTCCCTACACACAACAGTAGAGAGAGTGTGTGAATAGATTGGATATGATATAGAAAGGAATTATCTGTAAACATCAAGATAGAGGAGAGAAAAGGAAAAAGACCGAATGGCCCAGAGTACGGAAATATACAATACGGTATTGAAATCGGTTTTCCCCACGTTCTATCACGGCCCGAAAGTGACTTCACATTGCGATTCCATCTGCCATTTCTGCCCCTCCTTTCTCCCTCTACCAGATCACCTTTTTTCGCTTTCGCTTGTCGCCTTTGCTTTCGCTTGTTTTTCCTACAGTGCTGCCATCCGGTGCAGCCAGACCCAAAACGGCATAATTACGGCAATTACACCGGCCATTGGTGTCGGCTCGACTTCCCCGATAGCCCACCCTCATCGCGCCATGGCGGATGGACGAGATTTTGCCCCTGAGGAGGTCGCACCTGAAGCCGATGCTCCCTCTCCCAGTGACCCTACGGTTCCTCCGCGTCCCCGACAGACCCCGAGCACCGTTGTCCTCCCCTCCCGCGAATCTTCGGGGACCGGCTTATCTGCCTCGTCCACACACCTGGGTCAGGTCAATGCTGCGCGGCGGGGCGTTGGGACCTCACCACACCCCAAGCCCTCAATGAGCGCGCAGGGAGCCGGTGTATTAAATCAAGATATTATGGCAAAAATGAAGGCATTCTCGTTATCTCGCCAGGGCGCTCCACAGCCACATACTGCTGCTTCGACGGGGCAGATCCCCATGGCTCAAGGAGGCACTGCAGGCGGCGCGCTTGCTGGCGGCATGCCCCCTGGTGCCGCACGGCCTAATCCGCAAAATTGGTCATCTTCCCCTACGCCCGCCGCTGGCCCAGGTCCTTCGCCTCGACCGGGAGGGCTAGCGGCGAAGCGCATGAAGCCGAATCTCAAGCTATCAGATGTCACTGGTCCGTCACCTCCTGCCGCAGGTAATGATGAGAAGCAGGGCGAGCAAAATGGGGAGTCTGCCTTCAGCAAATACTCTGAGTTCATTGACACGAAGGAGGGCACTCTCAGCTTCA